AAACTGGTTACCCTCCATGAAGGGTAGTTTCAGCCATGATCTGTTCCTTAAGTAATTAATTTTGGATGGCGGCCAAGCCAACGGTTAGAACTGAATTACATTTCTACAACAAGAAAAAAAACAGACAAAGCAGCAGGCGGGAAAAGCGAGAATTCCAACAAGGAGAGTATTTTCTATGTTCATGTTTCTCCCAACTTAACTTCCCTTGCTATGGCATTCATTGTATGCCCTTTTTCTATAGAACTCTTAAAAATGTAAATTTCATGCTATCGCGTAGTGTAGAATTTCTGTTTTTGATTACTGTGTTGGGTGGGGCAGAATGTGCCGTTAGTTTGAGGTGATAACTTATGTAGGTCTCCTCAACGCTTCGTATGAAGGGTCAGTGTAGGTTAAGGTGGCTGTCTCATTATACATTAAGATAGCCAAGTATACGAAGTGTCGTGAAGTAGACTGTTGGTGCATTTGGTAGGCCGGAGAAGTCACCAGATGATAAGAAGTTAGCCAGTAACCGACCAAATCCAGTGGTTGATTTGGCGGCCCTCACCTTAGCTGGAAGTCTGTTCCAGAACTGAAAGAATTTGACGGCAAAGAAGTTTGCAAGACTTGAATGATTTCATTGCGACGCTATGGACGTGGTTGCGCAGATCGTAATAACTGTTGTGTTCGAACTGAAACTCACTGCTGGCTGTAAAAGTGTGTTTATGTAACACATAAAGGATGGTGTCAGGTTAATTTTTAGTCGTCTCATCCGAGTTGTTTCTAGACTTAGTATTCTGCATCTGGGGCTATAGCCCTGTTTGCAGTCGTGTCCCAACAATCCAGCTGTGAAACACCTTTAGACACCCTCTATTTTATGTTTGTCTGTTATGCGGAGACCTCTCAGTTTAAATGGACAGTATTCTAATAGTGGACGTATGCAAGTTTTATAGAGCAGTAACTTGACTTCTTTGAAGTGGAAGTAACGAACTATGCAACCCATCAGGATCCTAAACTTGCGAGTCTGTGATGCCACCTGTTCAGAGAAAGGGACATCCCTTAAGTATCTTAGTCAAAGGTCACATACACTTTCAAGAGCAGGCACTTTCGTAGACTGAAGGTGTAGTTGGACATCCGCCAATGCGGCACCATGCATATCCAGCCACATTTGCCTATATTGAGCTGAAGTTTCCAGGCAGTAGACGATGCGGATATTACATCGAGCTCCTTTTGTATTAGTGCTTGGAAGTGGGAAAAATTGTCACGGGTGAACGTGCATGTACCTTGTCGGTCAACAGCAAATAGGAATGGTCTACCGCATGTAAGCAGCTGCTGATTGAAAGCAGGCGCACACATCATTCATGTAAATCATAGAGAGAAATGAGCCCAGGACGGAGCATTAGACAACCATTTATTATAATAATTGTTTGTCCCTTGGGCTTCCGGTGGAACATAGGGCTTCAGTAGCACACCTTCATTCCACTCCGTTCTCTGCAGTCTTCTGAACTTCGCTCCACCACTGACCACAAACTTTCATTTCTCCCTCACATGATCTCCTCCATGTCACCCTCACCTCGGACGCCCAACTCGTCATTTCCTCTTTGGATTCCACTTGGCTGCCTGGCACATGATGTCTCCGAATGGTTTTCTCAGTGTATGCTCAATCCATCTGCACTTTCTTCTACGTATTTGTTGGACGATAGCTTCTTGGTTGGTTCATTCCCAGAGTTCCTTGTTGTTTATTCTAATTATTCTGGCCATCTGATCTTCAGTATTGAGCGTAGGCAGCCGTTGATGAATGTCTGTAGCTTGTTGGAAATGCTTTTCGTGACACGCCAGGTTTCTGAACCATATAGAAGCACTGACTTGACGTCGGTGTTGAAAATCCGGATCTTGTTTCTTATGCTGAGCGCAGTAGGTCCCCACACTGACTTTAGATCCATGAAAGCCTGTCTTGCCTTTCCAATCCTAGTTTTGACATCCTCATCTGTGTCGTCTGTAGCTGAGATGATGCTGCCTTGTCTGGGCAAGTTAAAGAGACAACTGCGTTCAGATTTCTCCCATTGATGGTCATTGGTGCTTGTTGTTGTCGGTTAGGTATCTTCATCATTTCTGTCTTCTCTACGTTCATCTGAAGGAAGTCTCATCTTCGCTGTCCTGACTCTTCTGTCAACTTGTTGGTTTTTGCTTGTAGATCTTTGAGTTTGTGTGACATTAAACATAAATCATCGGCAAAATCCAAATCTTCTCTTGGACAACTACACTGTTGATATTTTTAGGAATGTAACAATGTGAGCCTGTTTTGACAGCCTGGATACAGTTCAGCAGGAATAAGCCGATGCAGTCATGCAACTGGCCACTGATTCAAAACGAATTCAGTTTATTAGGAAGTGAGGGATGATGCATTTTGTCAAAGGCCCTTGTGAAATCGAAGTAAGGCGAAACAACTACTTTTCCATCATCTCTGCTGGTAATTATGTTTTCGAAGAATTCTAGGTGACACATGGCACAAGAGATTTGAGACAGGAATCCATGCTGTGGGTTCACAAGTTTGTGACCTGAAAGGTAAGTGAAGGTGACGCTTTTCACTACCTTCTCCATTTTACGCAAAAGGACGGATGTAATGTTGTTGGGGCGGCAATTTTCCGGTCTGCGCCTGGAGCCTTTCTGTAAGCACAGAGTAGTATAACTTCCGTGAAACTGGCAAAGTACCAGAGTTTAAGGACAGGCTGAATACTGGTGCTAGCAATATGGGGAATCCGCGCTGCCACTTTTAATGAAAATCCCAGGTATCCCATCTACTCCCCCACTAAGAGAGGACTTCAGTGAATTTATTGCACCACGTTCGTTTCTTGGGTTAAACTCAACTTCCGAGATTTTATGTGCTGCAGTGCCGCTGGGTGTTGCAAGGCTGCGATTGCGATCAGCGGAAGAAAGGCCGAATGTTTCCCTCGGTAATCCTAATATCTCTGTGGAGTCTGTGACGATCATGTTGCCTACCTTCAACATATTCAGCACACCAGGTCTATCACAGAGCTTCTTCTCAAGAGAAGTGGCAAGAAGACCAGTTTCCTTCGCATGTTTCAGAGTCGTATTCTCAGTGAAGGTTTCGCCTCTTCGTCAATGAACTTCCAGGTCACTGAAAACGACAAGGATACTAAGAATGGCGGGAAAGTCGTAGGCTGCGAAGTTTTTTCTCAGTTTCCTTAGTTTTTGCCGGAATGTGATGGGATGTGGCCTCCGACTTTAATAGTGTCTCTTTAGCAGCAGAATTAACACAACTCTAAGAGTGAACGACCGATAGTGGGCTAGCACTCAAACCTGAGAGTGAAAAACTTCACGTCTACTACATAATGTATGCGTGTATGTAACCTTGACGAAATGGAATTTGAAGCTTCACAGGCGGAGACGGATTTAGGCGTTTTGGTCCCTAAGGACTTAAAATTCAAAGCTAACTGTGACAGCAACGTACCTTAAGGAAGATTGGCGTCGGCATCCCTTAGACAATCTCGAGGACGTTCGACCGTAGGTGTCGCCAGCCGGCCTCACCTGGAGTTCGGGAACAGCCTTTCTGCCCTCCCTGTGGAAACTAGGCAGAGGATGCGCCCAACGGCTGTCGACAAAATCTGTTCCAGAAGTTAGGTCCAAACGAGTGACAAAAGAAAAGCAGCGCTCAATCCATATTTTTCGAAAAGCGGACGATAAAGGGAGGGCTTGAAAATGGCTCCGTCACTTACGCTCAGCTGAAACACCTTCCTAAGAATACACACATGAACTAATCCTGCAACATAATAGGTAAGATATCTGGCACGATGTTTGCTCACTGGAAGTATTTAGCTTCCGGGACGTTATTACCGTAGAAATGGTCCAGGCTACATCCCCTGAATCTTTCAGATGCTCACTGAATGCCCAATTCGGATGTGGGCTGGAACTCACCAAGAAGTAACTTAATTTTCGCCTTTCAGCTGGGACTGTTTTCCCTTCCTTTCTTCTCCGCCTGGTAAGCACAGAAACTAGTGATCTGTTACCAGTGGGCGCGCAAAACAGTTAAATGAAAGTTCTTTTGCTTTATCAAGAAGCATTTGTGACATCTGAATATGAACCAAATGAATCGTATCAGACAGTATCCCATTCATCCAAATCGAATTGGTTTCAGTAGAAACGTAATGATATTTTTATAGTTGTTCGGATACGGTTAGTTGGGGCGAAGAATAATTGTCATTTTACCCATAACTTGCTGAATAACAATTCACGGCTTAATTCGTCTTATACTTCGCTCTCATGCAGGAAAGATTAGTTCAAGCATTAGTATTTTTTGAATTGATCTGGGGCCGACTCGGTGGGCTAAAATGTCAACCGCTAGTCATTTGCAATTGTGACCTACCTACAAGAGCGAGATCAGGGAACAAAACAAGTGGATAGCCAGCAGGAAATAGTATATTTGATTGGCAGTGCCAAAACACCGAATAACCGGTGAGAGAATCGTTTATGGGCAGCTCGGCGTAACATGACAATGTGTCAAACGGCACCCATCCTGGCCACGTATCCTCAACCAAGCACGTCCTTTAAAACCATGAAGGTCAGTTTCAGTGATGAATCTCATCGAATCATAGGGAAATTTTGGGAATTATTTTCTTACACACCATTAGAACAGTGTTTGAGCCCCTGGCAACAGGAAATTCTGAAGAGGAGTGTGTGAGCGGCGAATCTGCCTTAACTTTCCATCAGCAACTCAGATTGAGGTTGAATCTCTGGATTCCTATCGCTCAGAAGTATTAATATAGTGGGTTTACTCACAACCCTTGTTCCTTTGTAAGCTAACCACAGCTGCAGCGGGTGACTGGAATAGTCTGTTGCATTAAGACTTACCGTAACCTGCAATTGTTTTTCAAGACCTAGAAATAAACCTGAAGAAATCAACTGGTTTATACAATCTCGCAAAATAGATATTGGAAATTGAATGATGGCTTAACCTTGAATAAACAGCTGGTGTTTGGTGTGCGTTCTGAGTTTTTATATTGGAGATGAATAAACGGAGTGATATCGTCAACTTGAACGTTGGTGGTCGAAAGTACGTGTCGAATTTTGATTATATAGATATATGATAGGTTCTCGACATCTCGTAATACGTTATTATGGAACAAGAACTCATTCTTCAGCATGTAATTATTGGTTTCTTCACTAATTTACACCATTAGCTTACTTGACGGTGCTTTACCAACAATGAAAGATGAATCTGGAGCTGTAACTGTTTTTCATGTCATTTTATCACAGCTAGATATTCATAGATAGAGATCCAGATATGTTTAGTATAATTCTGAACTATCTACGAACCAATGAATTAAACTTAAGTGGTGTGGACATAAACTCTTTAAAGAATGAAGCTCAGTTCTATGCACTTGAATCTTTGGGTAGGTCGAGAATTATTCTGAGACCCCTCGAAATCTAGTCAGGAAGCTTTCTCTATGTGAGGAAAACCTTTTAGGAAGATGTGGAGATCTGTTGTTTCATGCCTACATGCCCGCTCCTGGTATGTTCATTTTTCCATTGGGAGTATACATTTCTATCGCAAATTTGTTTAATTTTGCGGCAAAATACTAGAATATTTCAACTGACATCAGTTTCTAGCTAACGTTCGAAGGCTAATTGGCTTTATCACTATTTTAAGAACTCACTTTCTTACATTGCGTTCTGACTGTATATATAAAAAAATATCCAAAACGTTTTGGGAAAATGTCTTATACTGGGTGGGATTTAAACCTTTATAAATATCTGTGGTTTATGCTCCTAATTGGTTATGGTCACAGGGAAAATCACCTGACGTTGCCACAAAGTCAACTTTTACTTAGCGTTTCTTAGGTGTTTTCGGTTTAAGTTACCACGGAATATTCCCGTCCGCTTATTGTCGTTCCTCTTCAAAGCCAGTATAAAAGATTTTATTTAGCTTCAAGTTCTCAACAGGCATACAATAAACGTCATAAACATGTGTAGTAATAAGTATTTAGGGGTTCAGTTAATTGGTCTTGTCATTCCTATGGAGTATTGGTAGAATTTCTGGTCGCAAGTTGCCCAAACGTTGTATCCTTCTCTGGATTTTAGATAATAAAGCTATGTACAAAGCCTCTGAATTTGTTATCGTAATTGGCTCTAATTTTGAAATTGTTTCTGTGTTTCTCACTGTTTGCAGTTTCTGTTACTGTCTTGTGTTTGACCTTTTTGTAATGTTTTCTCATGCTTTAGGACCATTAAGTCTTAAAGAATTATCTTCAGTTTTACTTTTGGGCTGCTTCCGTGTTTTCGTCTTGTCTCAGATGTAATTTTTGTTGGTGTGAATAATAATATCTAGGGTCTTCATTCATGTCAGTTTGCTATCATCTCTAATGGCTACAAGGTTTTCGAAAATCTAGTCATTATGGTCATTCAGTGTGAGTTCCATGTCATGAATACTACGTTCACTGATAGTTTTGTCCACATCACTGTACATAGCTCCTTGTCACGCAGTTTGTATTTGGTGTTTTGAAATATTTTTGAATATGTTGAGTAGTTTCGGTAGCAAGTACTGCACGTTGTTTAGACTGATTAATCGGTTAATCATTACTTAAGAACAAATGAGAAAATTAGCCATGACCGGTAGTTAGTTGTAGCTAGTGGTTTTCATAGCCATTATTATGCTATCAGGTCTTTGAAGCTCAACCAAACCTTGAACAGTGTGAATGATAGCTACCATTATGGATACCATGTAACTAGATCATTATTCTTCCAATGGATCGTTATGTCTTGTGTAGTGTTATTACTTTTCTCAACTTACTTCGGTTGTTTTATCCTGTACCAATCCCAAGTTGACGCGATACGTATGTCTTTTTTTGGTGCACGGAACGTTTTTGGTTGTTTCGTGAGCTGAACGTTTTAATTGTTTGAGTTAAGGACTAATCCCGTAAAGGCTCTGTGAGAAATATTTGTGCATGTGTTATGACTCATACTTTTGTTGCCTAGTTGGAGGTTATCCAAATAATGGTCGGTGAACGTAGACGTGAAGGTTTGATTTAGTTAGTTAATTCAATGACTGTAAATGAAACAGTAACCTCGCCTAGTTAACTAGTTCACTAGTTACTAGCCGGCCCTAAGCCCGGATAAACAGGAAAGGTTGGGCGTACGGCCAGCAACCCTACCCCAGAAAACCAATCCAATCGATAAAGAAACTTCGAAGCACAGAAAATAAAAATAAAAACCTATTCCTCGCTGGAATCGGAGGGACAAAATCCCACCGGTTGGTGAAAGCCTTCGCAAAGCCAGTTAGCCAATGTGTCTTCTCTCCCTCGTTGAAGGCAAAAGTAAGCATAGGGACATGGGATGTCCGAACAGTGTTTCAAGCTGGCTGGTTGGCAAGGCTGTCCAGTTTGCAAAGGAGATGAGAAGGTATAGCATATAAGTGATGTAGTAGGAATCTGCAGATGGAATGGAAGTGGACTCTCCAGAACTGTCAACTGGAGGGAGAGTAAATAATCTACTCCGATATTGTCAGCCAGACGACAAGCACGGGGACACTGAGTTTTAGAGTGACTATCATGATGTCCCCTTGAAGAGCATCGAAGGCTGTCTCTCATGCAGGATCAGGATCACGATCATGACAGTAAGATTCAACTCGAAAGGAAGGATAGTTACAATCACACAATGAAATGCTGTGCTATGCACCTACAAATAATTAGGCAGATCAAAAGAAGAAGAAGGAGGAATTCTACAAGCAACTGCAATCAGTAATTGATAAGACTCCAGTTAGCTATATCGAAATCTCGATGGGTGACATGAATGTCAAGCTGAGAGCAGACAACACAGGAAGAGAACTGATCATGGGTTGAAATGATGAATGAGAATGGAGAACTGTTTGGAGAATTCTGCGCAGTCAGCGATTTGGTGATTGGAGGTAGTGTGTACAAACACTTTTAAGGATATTCACAAGACAGCGAGTGACATGGATTCGATTTCACCTGACACCAGATGGACACACTGCACTACATTAAAAATCATATCGACGTCATCTCAATGTGAAGAAAGTGAAGATGCAGTCAGCGTAGTGGACACAAGATGAGATGAAGAAGGGGAGCAGATTTAGGTTGACACCACCCACACCACTATCTAGTGCAAGGAACATGCCTTCCAAATCAATTTGAAAGCCTTCACAGAAGTTGATGATAGATCACAGTTGAAGTTGGACACCCAGAAGAGGAAGTGAATTGAAGGATGAAACTACAAATGACATCTTCAGGTTGTCAGTCATCAGAACAAAGTGGGAGACATTGACCAACATCCCTGAGGGAACGTGAGTGGAAGAACACTGGAACTCTTTGAAAGAGATGTGAAAAGAAACCTGCATAAGCGTATTAGGAAGAAAGAAGACAAGGAATGGATCTCGATGGATACATGGAAGATGATAGAGGAGAGGAAGATGGTGCAGCAGATGAACCAGTGCAAGGATGCACAACAAAGAGGAGAACTGAGTACAACGTACAGAACATTACAATGGACAAAGAAGGGAAGAAGAGTGCGTGGAAAGACAAAAGACACTTCTACGACACATTGGCAAGTGAAGCAGAACAGGCTGCTGGTAAGAGAGACCTGACAATATTGTATCAAATAACCAGGTTACTATCTGGAAGGGGAGAGATAAACGCAAATGAAACTAATGAGAGATAGTGAAGAACACCTAGTTACCAAAGAGTAGAAACAAAAGAAACAATGGGCTGACTACTTCAAGAAACTATTGAATCGACTATCACCGCCATCTGCAACTCGTCTAGAAATACCATCAGCAGCCCAGCCACGGAACTACCAGTGAACACAAGCTCTCCGACAAAAGCAGAAGTGAAGTCGTGAATGCCATAAAGTTACTGAAATCCGGGAAAGCAGCAGGAATGGATGGAATTCCACCAGAAGCACTAGAGACAGATGCAGAGACAACAATGGACATGCTCACATCACTACTGCAGAAGGTTTGCAAGGAAGGAAAGAAAGGTACCTTGGAAGTAGGGCTACTTTGTGAAACTCCCGAAGAAGGGTAATCTAAGTCTTTGCAAGAACTGGCGAGAAATCATGCTCCTGTCCACTCCAAGCAAAATACTATGCCGAATCATCCTGGAGAGACTAAAGAATACGCTGGATTTAAAACTACGACCGGAACAGGCTGGCTGGCTTCAGGAAGAATTAATGGTGTGGGGATCAAATTGCAACGCTACGCTTATATCATCATATAACAGAGTATAGAATGGCAGTCAACTGTCTACCTCAAGTTTATCGACTTTGAAAAGGCCGTCGATACCGTCGTTCGAGAAGTAATTTGGAAAGTAGTTGCTTCAACACTACGGTTCTAGTAGCATAAACCTCTATCAACCTCATTCAACAGCAACTGCGTGCTATATGATACTATATACCAAGTGATTCACAATGGGAAGCTCAATGATGCCTTTGAATTGAAGACAGGAAGGAGTAAGACAAGGTTGCCGGCTACTATCACCGATCATCTTCCTGATTGTGGTCGACTGGACTAGACTGGATTATGCAACAAACTGTGAGGAGCTAGAAGATGGGCATACTCTGGCTGGACCGATGAAAAGACCCGAGAAGATTTGGATTTTGCCGATGATTTATGTTTAATGTCACACAAACTCAAAGATCTACAAGCAAAAACCAACAAGTTGACAGAAGAGTCAGGACAGCGAAGATGAGACTTCCTTCAGATGAACGTAGAGAAGACAGAAATGATGAAGATACCTAACCGACAACAACAAGCACCAATGACCATCAATGGGAGAAATCTGAACGCAGTTGTCTCTTTAACTTGCCCAGACAAGGCAGCATCATCTCAGCTACAGACGACACAGATGAGGATGTCAAAACTAGGATTGGAAAGGCAAGACAGGCTTTCATGGATCTAAAGTCAGTGTGGGGACCTACTGCGCTCAGCATAAGAAACAAGATCCGGATTTTCAACACCGACGTCAAGTCAGTGCTTCTATATGGTTCAGAAACCTGGCGTGTCACGAAAAGCATTTCCAACAAGCTACAGACATTCATCAACGGCTGCCTACGCTCAATACTGAAGATCAGATGGCCAGAATAATTAGAATAAACAACAAGGAACTCTGGGAATGAACCAACCAAGAAGCTATCGTCCAACAAATACGTAGAAGAAAGTGCAGATGGATTGAGCATACACTGAGAAAACCATTCGGAGACATCATGTGCCAGGCAGCCAAGTGGAATCCAAAGAGGAAATGACGAGTTGGGCGTCCGAGGTGAGGGTGACATGGAGGAGATCATGTGAGGGAGAAATGAAAGTTTGTGGTCAGTGGTGGAGCGAAGTTCAGAAGACTGCAGAGAACGGAGTGGAATGAAGGTGTGCTACTGAAGCCCTATGTTTCACTAGGAACCTATGGGGAAGATAATAATAATAATAAATAATAAATGAAACAGGATCAACGGTATGTTTGCTTATTTTAGATATTGGTCACTCGATTATGACTGATTTAATTTGTATTGGTTTGTGTTACGTGTAAGTGTAAGTAAGTGTACATTGTAATAGTGCTATATTAAAGAAATGAACAGGGGTGTTCTTGATACTTTTATTTTAGATTTTGTACTAGATGAATCTGGTTCATGTTTTAAGTAAGTTTGTACTTGTCATTATGTCGTTAAAATACACTGATAAATTAATAGACGATATTGTAGTAATGTACTGCATGCTATTTTATATATATATATATATATATATATATATATATATATATATATATATATATATATATATAAGAAAGGGAACGCTGTAGTTGGGTATGGTCGAATAATGAATTATCTACCCAGCTAGCACTGATTATTGCAAAAGTAATTGTTCCTATTGAGAAAAGTTAGTTACTAACCGTATCCAAACAGGTGGGCCTCGGATTTTGAACTTTGCCAACAACTTAAGAACTGAAGGTTTTTGGTTTCCTACAACTGCTGTCTGTCAGCTCATCATTTGTCTTGTTTTTAGTTTCCTAAATTATTTTTAGATTAAAAACACTAAGACGTGATTAAGATGCACATGTAGTCCTTCAGTCTGTCATTTTACAAGCCATTTTAATGTGTTTGACTCAGTAGGAGTTATATTATATACAAACTGTAAAGTGATGCAGGGTCTTCCTGACTCAGTGAGTAGAGATATGAGTACTTGTGGAAGATGTCAGATTTGATGAATGTAAGATGATAACACTACAGAATTAATTTTAAGAACGAGTAGTTGAGCGACTCACGGTGCTAACTATTTTGATTAGTTACGGATAGTCATGAAAGCCCCATAGACTAGTTCTTATAAGAGTTTTCAGCACGAATACTGAATGTGCATCTGTTTTTTAAAAAAGTACATCACCTATGACGATTAAAGTATATCTAGATACTTATCAAAATGCAAGGATAGTACACAGCTCTCCTTTCTCTGTTCTGTGGGATATATACCTAAGAAAGGAAGATACGAAGATACAAAGTAGTTTGTTCATATATGCAAACGAATCGATGCTGGTTTGTCATAAGTTCGAAGGATAAACGGATTCCGGGTAGTTGTACGATGGTAGATATGGAAGGTAATTCAGCCGATGTTGTAATTACGTACTGAATGACGTAGTTGAACCACTTCATACAACTACTACACTGTGCATTCCTATCTGAAACTGTATTGAGCTGAAGAAAATTTACGGATTAGTAACAACCTAAAACATTCCTGACTTGGTTATAGCTATGTTAAAGAAAACGTAGCCTATCTAGTTGGCGTCCCTTTCGTAACGCGCCAAGTCTCTGAACCATAGACTTGGCGCGTTACGAAAGGCATTTCCAATAAACTACAGACATTCACCAACAACTGCTTACGCTGGCTCGCTACTGAAGATCAGATGGCCAGAAAGAATAAGCAACAAGGAGCTCTGGCCGGGCAACGAACCAACCAAGAACCTATCACGCAACAAATATGCAGGAGGAAGTGGAGATGGATTGGCCATGCACTGAGAAGGCCGACTGGGGACATCACGCGTCAGGCCAGTCACTCGAGTGGAATCCCCATGGGAAGCGACGAGTTGGACGTCCAAGGGTGACATGGAGGAGATCGTGCGAGGAGGAAATGAGAGCTTGTGGGCTGTCGTGGAACCAGGTTTAAAAGATCTCAGAGAACAGAGGTCACTGGAGACGTGCTACTGAAGCCCTATGTTCCACTAGGAACCCAAGGGACTAATAATAATAATAATCATCTAGTTGGCGTCTAGTGTTAGACTAAATCAGTGGTGTTATTACCTGGTTTACTCACTTTTATTGTATCCACATTTCATTTTTGCTTGGTAAATTTAGTAAGTACTTTGAGTCAAACTAGTAGATGATACTACCCAATGTTTACATTTGTCGATACTCGATGTTATCCCACATCGAACATGACAGTACTATGGATGACCTTATAACTGCAACCAATCAGAAAATCCTTCAGTCTACCCTCATACTTATTTTTCAAATGAAAAAATGTGCATATTGGTTGCGTGTATAAAAACTCTGGTAAGTTTTAAATAAGCGGCTTTACTACTTGGTGTACATTTTTTGATTTAGTAAAAATCAAAACTGTGCAGTTAGTTATCTTCATTTTATTTTTGATAAATCTGTCACAAAAGTCACGAGGTCGAACTTTAAACTAAAAAACACTATTCTCGTACTTATAATTACATTATGAATGTGATGAATGATGATTTAGAGAAGTTGTTGATAATTTATAAATTATAATTTATCTTCAATCGTTTTGAAATCAAGCATACTTACTACTTCAATAGAGAGGTATTACATTTTAGCGAAAGGAGAATACCTAGAGTGGAATAGGCTACTAATAGAAGAAAATATATAAAAGGAAATTAGATATGCAATACATTATTGCTATCAAATAATCAGATAATCTATTCTAGTAATAAGCAGTCTACTTTTAATCTCAGAGTCCATTGTATTATCCTCTGTAAAATACTACAAATAACAAATCTCATTAGTTAGTTTTAAACGGCAAGTAACCATAATTCACCTTGCTACATGTTGATTGGGATTATTTAACTCATGGTTTAGTTGTGTGATGTTATCCAAGGCTAGATCTGAGGAGCCAGAACTTTATCACACTAATTAGTAATGTCTAGTTGGCTGAATTAGGTGGTTTTTAAAAAAATAAATATTGAAAGTGTGTTTCATTCATTTCGACTGGCAGTGATGACGAGTTGGTTAGCCTTTGTGGTTAGGAGCAGTTTAGCTTTCAAAGGAAATCAAATTGAAATTTAGCCATCAGTTTTTGTTTATTTCGTTATTTTATATAATGAACATTACGAATGACTATTATCATCTTTTAGATGGAATATTAACAAACAATGTCGACTTAATAGTCAGTCTACATCTAATGGCTTATGTTTACCACCTTATACAACTGTCTGTTCATCTGTAAGAAATCCATCTGGCTTATCACATCATATAGGTCCTGGAACTCATCAACATGTAATTCAAAATTCATCAGTCAAAATATCTACACATGATTCGGTTTATGATATTTCTGGTTGTAGTACAAGTAATGGAAAAGAGTAAGTATACATTTAAATGCGATTATATATTAAATTATCAACCTGTAGTTATCGTTATCTCACATGTTGGCAACCGCTGGTTACTTTATATTTTTGAAATTATACTTAAAGTAATTATTGTTGAGGTATTGATAAGGTGTTGAAAGAATACTGTCAACGAACTTGAATCGGAAAAGAATAACAATAGATGCGGAACAACGTGAATCCATTCTGTTTGGTCTATTTTTCGCCGTCTACTTACAAATTGAAACGTATAAATACTACATAATAAAAGAATATGAGCATACCTTTTGCAATTCATTGAAGTTAGTATTATTGGTTGTATTATACCGTCGTTGGTTGGACCGAATTGATCGGTCTGTATTCACGTATCGGCTGCTGTGCGGATGCCTCGATATTACCTGTATTTTAATCATAGTCATGATGGATAGGGGCTAGCAGTGGAATCGAGGATGCACATTTCATCCTATTTAGTATAATACAATCAATAATACTAAAACTGTACCCGTTACATACGAAATGGCTATCATGGCTCGGTGGTGTAATAAATAACGCTGTGGCGTTTGAAGCGATCTGTCACGAGCCCGAATCTAGCTGGGAACAACATCACTCTTTAAGAGGCAGATACATCCAACTGACGAGTCCCAAAAAAGACGAAATGCGCATCCTGAATTCCACTTTTAACCACTATCCATCATTACTATAATTGAAGTTAGTTAACAGAAATCAACATAATGTAATACAATAGTAGTATAGTATGTGGTATAATAAGGAATAGAAGTATCTGGATAAAGGTAATATGGCATCACTAAGAAATTACACTTGTACATCTTATTCGACATAAAGTTCAAGATTTGTGTTATAGAGCAAAGCAAAGTTTCTCGATATTTGCCATAAAAGGACTATATAAGAAGCTCAACAGGTAGAGATAGGTTGATGATAAATAGTAAAAAAGCTACGTAATAATGTATATAATGAATTAAACTAAGTCGGTAAAACAGTGATCATCAAAATTTTTTACATACCAAAAATAGATAAATGTTCAGTCAAAATAATGTGACCGCAAAACTTGAAGGTCCTTGGTTTTGATGTCTGGCGGGGTCATGGGTCCCCACTGTTAGTTTTATACTAGAAGGAAACAGCTGTCGAATACTTCCAGGTTTCCAGTGTTTCTCCAACTAATGTCAATCCATGATGAATGTTAACTTGAAATCAATAAATAAATTCTAACGAAAGATTGTATCATCTGATAAAAATAGAGTTAAAAGTCAAGTTACTATAGCAAAGAAAGACTGATGATTGTATAACTTGTTTGTCAAAATAACAGATGATCCATTTTACTTTACAGTCACTTTCAGAAGTGTTAAACGTCTTAAGAACAGTAGTTTTTTACTATTACTTTGAATTATGAAAGGATAGATATTTTGGCAAGCATATATTCAGACCAAGCTATGTTCTGATTTCAGATGTCTCAGTTTTAGATTAGTAACCATTGTATCACTTCTTCTAAAGTATTGCTATCTACCAGAGATTGTGTAGTTAAATTATATTTCTGGTTGTATGACTGATAGTTTAACAGAGGAACGTTGAAAAGGGATACAAACCAGTCTAATTACTTGAATCCACTTTTAAAGTTTGGCAACTTGAAACGATACACTTCTGTGCAAAGTTCCACACTCCTTTTATTTCTCGTGTCCATGTAAATCACAGTGAAACAGTTATATTTACTGATAGATAATACTGTTTCACTATGTGATACATATAAAACGAAAGTATAATGGAATGAACCAATTTCTTCGGAATCCTATTCAAAAACATTGGGACAGGACTCAGCTATTGACATCTCTAATCACATCTATATTTCTCTCAGTCTACTGCTTGAAGGTTAATACTAGTCAAACTGTTTGTTATAGATGCCCATACACATTGAAGTAACTTCTGTTTACTACAAAGTTATAGTGATGTACAACTTGATATCAGAGTCATAAAGTGGTTTTTGGACCTTAACAACGAAATCATATTTAACTACTTTTGATATTTACAACCAACATAATCGATAACTTTTGTACATTAAAAAAGCAAGATTTAACACTATTACTTTATTTTACAACATACTGAACGGTGACCTCCTTAATGATAGATTTTACCGTGAGCTGACATCAAAGACAGTGAACATCGTATTCCTAATCAGTGATAACCGTTTGGTAATTTTAGATAGTGTCTATCTTTTATTTCTTTTTGAACGGGACTTCATCAGTTTAAGTTTCATGATAATAATGATAATAATTTGCTTGGTTGTGGCTAGCAGAAGAATCCAGGACGCGCGTTTCGTCCTATTTAGGACTCATCAGATTGATTTAACTGCACCCCGGTGATATTAATCCACTGAGACTCGAACCTCGTATCCATCGCTTCAAACGCCAAGGCGTAATCCACTATGCCATCACTAACCACAACCAACCAAATTATCATAATTCACATTCAGGCAATATCGAGGCATCCGCATCGGAGCCCATATGCCAATAGAGGTCGAACAATTCGATCCAACAAAACAACGGACAATAACTAGTATGTCAATAAATAGTAATGATAATAATAATATTCCCTTTATTCTCAATAATTTGTGGTACAATTTGGAATCCTCAGCATGACATATTACAACAAAAACAAACCATATGGATATATATATATATATATTGGACCGAATAGACCAGTCTCTGTTGGCATATAGGCTCCTGTGCGGATACCTCGATATTGCCTATGTTTTAATTATGTATAGTAATGATGGGTAGTGGCTAGCAGGGGAATCCACATCACTCACTGGGAGGCAGGTATATCCAGCTGACGAGTCCCAAATAAGACGAAATGCGCATTCTGGATTCCACTACTAGACACTATCCATCATGAATATGAGGAATATTAAAAATGGAAACATTTTATATTGCGAATTAAATTGTTGAAATAAGATGGTTAATTGTTACAAAGTTGATTTATGAGTTCTGTTCTAACACGCTTTTCCTCACATGATATGCGTGCTAGGTGAGGTAGAGACGAATTCTCGTACCTAGCTGTATGATCACACAGTCTGATGTAGTTTCTTCTCGTCCTCTCTCTCTCTCCCTGAGGTGATACAAGGAGAGAGTTGTAAATGAAGTGGATGCTCAGTGTCAATTAAAATGACCACAGTTAGTTGCTTGCTAGAATCTAAATGTCTACCAACTACACTGTTAAACAGTTGAGTCACAGGCACGCACACCACTCACCCTACTCATGGCTTTCAAGGCCCTATACAATATAACATAGTTCCCTTTTAGAAGACCAGGAAAGATCAATGGGGAACAATACAGAGAATAGGAAATAGGCAAAGTGTAGGAATCAACAAATTGTAAATGTAGAAGCTGAGTTATACCAGACAGTATTAGTTTCTTTATGTAATACGTCAAACGAAAGACACTTTTACAAGTCAACAAGATATGAGACAACCACCAAAAGTCAGAAGTAAATCTCAGTCGAAGGTAGTTAACACTCGATTGATTTACTTTGTGCAGAAATACCATATTAATGCAACAGGGCGTCATGGGACTTAGGCAGCTCACACAAGTCTTGTTTATACTTGAGGTTAAAATTAACAGTCTGACATTTAAAAGGGTTTAATTTGAGACCATTGGTCAATTAAAGACAGGAATCCATTTAATTCAGACTAATCCAAGTGAGAGTTGCCTGGAATAGACACTATCAAGTCATCAGCCTACCTAATAAAATTAGTATCAACAGAATAAGGTAGATCGTGCAAAAAGAACGAGAAGAGAAACGGAGAAAGCACTGCAAGTTGAGGCACACACCAGCTTCATTCAGTAAGCAAAGAAGTTGAGCACTTCCATTTATAGACTGCATACTGTTTCCTTTCAGAAAAATAACAATACGACCACTTTGCAACCCATGGCTCATTATGAGCAATGGCAAGCTTATTTAACAAGAGTGGTGGTCTAGGAACAGAGTCGAAGGCTGATGAGTAATCCAACAAGGCCCAACAAGCATGCTTAACACCTTTGTCTAGACTAGAAACAATATTATGAGGCAAGAGAGTGACAGCATCTAAAGTAATTCTCCTGTGTTTGTAAGCAAATTGTTTCGGATCTCCGAAAACCTTCAAGCACAAAAGACAAGTAATTTCTCCATTGGAAGTTATCACAATGAGTTGAAACTTACTATCTGACCCAGAAAATGACTTAGCCACAGATACAACTTTTATCTCCTTTTAAGCAGCGGGTATTGTGTTCTTAGAAAACGATGTATTCAGGTGGTACTGGTAGTTAAGTTCTCATGCGTCATAGAGTAATTTTTCATTGATGCCACCATGTGTGACTTTAAGATCCTATTTTTAGTGTTTCCGCATGTCAGAAATAGGTGCTACTTAGTAGCTTTAAACAAGCATAAAGGTAATACAAGTGTTCCTTCAATCTCTGCGAGCTAGCTTATGGTGAGGATTTCATGAAGTTTTAGACTTAAATATATAGACCACTCACTTCCAACTGTTACATTTTTATTTTTAAAATGAACATACTTTCATTTGTGTTTTTTCTTGAATCTTCTTCATTTTGATAAAAAAAACTAAAGCATACCAAAATGTAATTATGTACCGGAATATCCTATTGTGGAAAGTTACAATGAAGGAGATACAGGTGCATCGAATTCAGTTAATCAACCGGTCACTATTGAATTGCATCAGAAACCTGTTACTTTAATTACATGTCATCAAATATAATGGCTGCTGTCTACTCTGATTGTGTTGGTGTATTCTCGTGAGTAGTTATACTTTTTCCTTTTGTATTGATATTATTAAGTTAAACTTGAATTTACTAAAGTTATTACACACACTTGGGTTTTATTATTATTATTATTATTATTATTATTATTATTTTCCCTTTGGCTTCCTAGTGGAAAATAGGGCTTCAGTAGCACGCTTCCATTGCACTCTGTTCTCTGAAGTCGTTTCAACCTCGCTCCACGACTGCCCACAAGCTTTCATTTGTTCTTCACATGGTCTCCTCCGTGTCACTCTCGGCTTGGACGCCCTAATTGGATTCCACTCGAGGACCTGGTGCGTGATGTCCCCGAACTGTCTTCTCAGGGTATGCTCAATCCATCTCCACTTTCTTCTGCATATTTGTTGGGTGATAGGTTCTTAGTTGGTTCGTTGCCAGCCAGAGTGAGTTTCTTGTTGCTTATTCTTTCTGGCCATTTGATCTTCAGTTTCGAGGCAGCGTAGGCGGCTGCTGAAGAATGTCTGAAGTTCGTTGGAAGTGCTTTTCGTGACGCACCAAGTTTCTGGGTTTACTTACCTTTAATTTAGAGGGATGTGTGCGGTCAATAGTTAAGGAGAAATTAAACTATTGGCAAGAAATCATGTCTAACTAAGGTGGAAGGTAACAGGAGGAAGATAAGACGCATAAATATGTAAGATATCACCAGCGCAGAATACTTTTGCATCACTATGTTCGATTTTGACTTAAATCATGTTAAGTTTTCAAACATTAATATCCGTTGTTTTGTGGATAATGATGACAAAGCAAACACTTATCACATAGTATACTTGCTCGTATTATACCGTCGTTGATTGTACCGAATCGACCGGTCTCTGTTGGCATATGGGCTCCTATGTGGATGCCTCGATATTACCTGTTTTTAGTTGTACTAGTGACGGATGCCGGTATGAACAACATCACTCACTGGGAGGCAGGTACATCCAGCTGACGAGTTTCAAATAGTACGATGTGCGCATGCTGGATTCCACTGCTAGTCACTACCCATCATTACTTATCTACATAGCTCAAACCAACAGTCAGGTGTTTTATCGGAATTATACCACGTCTTATTCTGATAACCTCTGGCTTTCTTCCATTCTAGTCCCTACTTCATCTAACATCACACGTTGAGGATAATCGATCGCTTGGCATACGTAACAAATATCAGAGTGATCTCAGTCAATATTGCATGCCTATATCGACTGATTCACCTAGTCGGTCGTTTGATGGTTCCATCTTGTACAAGTACTGCTTTGATGCGAACTAAAGTCTTCTAAAATCTCTCACCACTGGTTACCATTTTCTAAAGTTATTTAGTAGGACAATATAAACTGTTGTACAGTGCAGTGCCCCCTTCGACAGGCGTTTGGCGATCATACTGGTGTCACAAGTAGTACCACGTTTGAGGAAGTGAACCTGTCACTTTACATTCATAAGGCGATTTTACCGGCCACTGACTTGCTAGAGTTGGTGCGTGTTACTAGTTAGCAGAAATGTTAAGCATACTCGAGTCCAAAATCCTAAGTTCTATCTATAATTCTTCGACGTCTCATCGGAGCTCGGGAACAGCAAGCCTGAGAAAACCAGGCAGGATGTAGACCCGGCCGCGGGTGTATCTACCAAATATTCACACTGTGCCAGGTTCTGGAACATAGACACGCTTACTGACGCCCAGCACTAGCTGTATTTCTCGACCTGAAGGCGGCAGCATTCGACTTCTTTGGTCGAGAAGTCCTATGGCAATGTCTCCCATTGAAAGGAGTACCGAGTAAATACATCTCCTTATTGAAGGCTCTCTACTCGGACACTTGTGGGCATGTTAGAGCCTATGGCGAGTTGTACAGGGAGCTATACTCATAGAGTGGCGTCCGTCAAGGATGCCCACTATCTCCATTCTTATTCAATTTTATCATAGATGTTCTCATGGAGGTCTGCCTCCCGTCACCTAATTACACAGACTTTGACCTAATCGCAGGGGAATTTCCACTAGACCTAGAATATTCAGATGATATAGTCCTGTTGGGTGAAGACGCTGACAAGATGCAGAGTCTTCTGGACACTTTGAGTAGCAATTTGAGAATGTTTGGGCTGCGTTTCTCACCACCTAAACGCAAATTTTTGCTCCAGGATTAGTCTTCAACGGTGTCTTGGCTAACAACAGAGAGTGTAGTTGTTGAGTGTATCGACCACTTCACTTACCTGGGAAGTAGGATCAGCACTACCCTGATGGCTCAGTGGACGGTGAAATCCCTGCTGAGATACAAAAGGCTCGATTAGCTTTCGCCAACCTACGCCGTATGTGGTGCCGCCGTGATATCCAATCGTCTACTAAGGGCCGCGTATACTGCACAGCAGTCCGGTCTGTTCTGCTGTATGGCTGTATGGCAGGTGGAAGACATGAGAAGGCCTCAAGTGTTTGACTACCGTTGTCTTCATAGTATAGGCCGTATTCCGTGGTGTCACCACGTAAGTAACGCAGATATCAGATATAAAGTTTTAGGGAGAAGAGGTAAGTTGGTGGACAAGGTTGTGAACCTTCATCGATTGAGATGGTTGGGACACGTACTACGTATGCCTAGTCACCGATTGCCTCGTCACACAATCTTGAAGTAGGTCCAGGCTGGAAAAAGGCCTGAGGTGGCCTGACTAAAACATGGCATCAATGTATGAAGTCTCTGACTGTTGGTTTGAGCCATGTGGGGGTGTTGCAAACTGAGTGGTTGAGGTCTGCGGGACAAGAGGAACCAGTGGTTGGAGACTCTAGGTGATATGGCTGAAAACCGATGTCCGTAGCGCAGATGTATACATACATTATCGTCATCTTAACGACGCTATACCGAATCTCACCATTTTCTCTTCCTTCATTTCTCTCTTTTGGTAGTTTGTATTTCTTTTGACTGAATTTTCCTATCTTCATCTTGCGCCTCACTAAATTTTTACTTGTTGTACTGATATGAGGTGTGGTAACTCGGACCGTCACATAGCAATTTTTAGTACTATGTTGATATTGATTGAGAACCCAAGAAGGAATCAAGTCTTCTTATACCACCACCTAAATTACTGTCATTAATGAATTTCTTCGAAATGTGTATCCTGGAGTTTCAAAGACGAAGTCATAACCTTTGGGTTTGGCTATGTTTGATGTGGGTAAATAATTCACGATTGGCCAGTATTTGAATTTCAACCCTCAAAGAACGTTTCTTTGAATAAAGAAACTCAATCAGTACGGCAATCAACTGGAAAGTTCAAGAGATGTTAGCTTAAAGCCTATCAAAAACCAAGCCTTTTCAAGGCTTTCGGTTTAGTTGGAGGAACATTGGAAACCTGGGAGCACCGGACAGTTGTCTCGTTGAACTGGTATGGGACTCTTCAGCAATGCACATCCATAACCCCACCAGGGATCGAACCCAGGGCCTCCAGGTTTCGTGAACAGCACGTCAACATTGTGGCACTGGGTTGGGATTCATTTCATTTCACTCCTACACCCTGATATGATGATTGATATGACTTCATTTCCATGACTTCAACATACCTCTGATACCCGATTCAAACAAGTAAGCTCCATCTCCATATGAAGGTATCAACTACTGTCAGGAACCAATAATTAGGAGATACACCGAGTGCTAACGTCACAGATAGGATTTCAATCAATGTCTTGTGTGAGAAATTCATAAACTTCACTATAAGAGTACCGAGATGAATTTTCGTATAAAGTGAACTAGCAATACAACAATATTGTCAATTGAAATATTGATTTCCACAAAGGTTGGTAAAGGAACTTTGTTTCTCGTTCAAAAAACTCCAAAAAGAATCACTGATGTAATATAGTGCTTCATCTCTTGTCAAGGATAATAGCTATCAAAATATACTGCTGAACAAGTTGAGTGGTTAGAAATGACTTATCTGTAGATTTCATCAGCCAAATCAGAATGATCTAATTACCTGGCAACTGTTTTGCTTGTTTGGAATAGTGTTCATCAATGGTGTCCCCTAAGAAACTCAGCTCATAAAGCTGAATGAGTTTAGATCACCTGAATCCGATTAGCTGACTTGCATGGACTACTATGCCTAAAATAAATGCAAATTGATCATCCTATTAAAGGCTGTTACCTTTTTCAGTTCCTTGCAATAAGTACTAGTGGTTTTCAACATATCCAGCTGCCTATCTTTGTGTATTCAATGATGAACCATTGAAAAAGATTGTTGTCTGATGTGTCGTTTCCCTGTTTGAAAACCTATATCTTATTTAGTAGTGTAAGTAGGAAAGAGTGCTAAACCTTAAAAGTAGAGGATTTAGCTGTTAAGACAGAGTAAAAAAGAACCTTGTTACAGTTTATCAAAGTTATGTGAAGTTGTGTATGAGCAGTTGAGCTGCCTTCTTCTTGGGTATTGGGTAACGAGTTGAAATCTACTCAATATACTTTGGTGTAGACAGTCAAGTAGGATCGTTCACCTCCAGGACAAACATGTGACCTACTGTGTTATTTTGATCGCTTTATGTTTCAACTCAAATGAATAAGTGAAGAGTCACTTTGAGAAACATATCTAGCTAAAAACAACACTGTACATTGTATCTGAAAACAAAAAATTGGAATTCAAAATTTTTATGCTTTTTCCAGATCACCTGATGAAAACTTTTTCTCGAGGTAGTATTCATCGCTGATTGACATCAGTTGGGGAACTATTGAAAACCTGGGAGCACTAGACAGCTGTTTCGTCCTAGTATGAGACTCCTCAGCAGTACACAACCACGACCCGATTGGGAATCAAACTCAGGACCTTCAGGTTTCACGACGAACGCGTCAACCATTCAGCCGTAGTGAATCGTGGGTGGGTACTGTCAATGAATGCCATACTAGGACGAAACAGCTATCCAGTGCTCCCGGGCTTTCAATGGTTCCTCAAATGACGTCTTTCCGTGATGAATACTACCTCTAAGTTAAAATCCCTATTCATCTTAACGAAAAGACTTTTCTCTTTCCAGATTAGTAGTATCTCAAATAGCTTGATAGTGAAAGTGTTTGCTGAAGGAACACGTAAACAAAGCATTTCAAGATGACATATACATTATGCTATATGTATTATTCATGATAGTGCAAGTCTAGAATATAGTTGTGCATTTTGTTCTCATCCTTTTCATTTTACTTTATTTAGACTAAAAGATCCAATTGGTTGGCATTTAACATGGTTAAGTCCTGTCCTACCAGCACCAATTGATCGAATCGCTCTCACTGGTAAAGCACCTAGTCAGAATAATTTTGGTCCTAATCCTAATTTACCTGGAAATGCTACTTCTCTGTTCCCCTTAAATCCTACGGTAAATTCACCTAATATTAATCAAAGTGGTAGTAATTCAACAAATCCTAGTGCAACCGTCAGTAATAATAACACTAATCAGTCATTGTCTAATTCTTCGGCCAATTCAAGTTTCAATACTAATTGTGGCTTTCCTACTAACTGGTCTTCACAGAATGCATCACAATTTAATCAGTCATATCCATCTGGAACAAATAATCTACCCTCTGTAGTTAGTACACCGTCATCTAGTGGTGGATGTACACTAGCTGTAGCTGTTGGTTCAACTATTACACTATGGTATCTGTATCCTCCATCGGGGCTGATCTCCTCACTTGTTTCATATGCTGGACAATATGGAGTGACTACATCACCTGCCACATATTTCTTATCTCCATTATATCCATTTATGCCTATGCAAGATGTGAATAGTTGGACTAGTTATCCACCGTTAGCTAAAATTAAAGAACCTTGGACTAGTGAAATAGTAAGTGATTCTTTTTTGAATAAGAGAAGAGTTTAACTTATGATGGATATTTTATACGATGTGATATTCACTAACAAATGTCTTGTGTTCAGGTTAAATTATGACAATTGAAATAAGATGAGATTCACTCAACAGTCTTGTGCACATTCGTACGGTAGGGAATGAACCACACCTGTTGTGTAATGGCTATTGATACTACCTGGCTGCCTGAACATCGGTAGCTGGAACAGGACTCGGACCCGTGACCCAGTAGTTGAAAGTCATCTCCCTAAACCAGTGAGTCACACCTCCACACTGGGAAACTGGTAGCACTGAACAACTGTTTTGTCCTCCTCATCATCATCATTATCAACATAGGACCAGGCATTACTGCGTAACGGTCCGAGTTGCTGTTTTGTCCTAGTGTGGGAGTCCTCACCAGTGCACATTCATAACCTCGCAAGGGATCAGACCCAGGACCTCGAGGCTCGTGGTGAACACGGTTGAACTACTTGGTCATGGTAGCTGACCAAGTGGGTTGTACATCATGAAGAGTTGTATTGCAAGTTTTGAGTCTACAAGTAAATTTCCTACATTATTCAATTCTATGGTGTAATTGTGATTAGTTATATACCACTGAATCAGAGATATGTTGTTTATAAATGCTGTAGACTATCACAGTAAGAGAGAGAGAAGGGCTAGCTGACCTAAACATTTTAATGGTAGTGTTTTCCGTTTATTCTTCACTTTCTTATCTGTAAATTGAAGGAAAACAGTGTAGTGTTTGTCGGATGGCTTAAGTGAATTGTCGTCTCAGAATTTCTGTAGACTTAAACTAAACTCTGTCGGAAATTATGCATATCTTCATATAGTAGGCAAAGGGCCACATGTAGTGATACTACTTGGGTGCCTAAACATTGGTACATGGAGTGAGGTTCAAATCCGTGGCTCACTGGTTGAAAGTCAATCGCCTATACTAACAAAGTCACAGCTCTAGAGACATGATCTTTCATGTATGTAGCAATCAAGAGACATGTAGACAAAGTATTATATTCTGTGCATACCGGCTCATCGCCAACCTCGACACACTACGCTAGGGGAATCTGCATTAGGTTGGAAGAAAGTTCAGAATGGCCATACCAAGACGTAGTATTAGTCCATGAAGTTTCTTACTGTAGGTATGAGTCGTGTTGGGAGATGCAGACTGCTTGGTTGTGGTCCGGGAGACGATAGAAATCAGTGGTTGAGGACTTTTAGTGAGTGAAATGGCTGAAAATCAGCTACAATGGCGCTCACTCGTTGACATCTAAAGCTTGAATATTTGCACTAACCTCTATCATCAAATTGTTTATTGTCTCGTTTATCTTTGTTGCTATGATATCAGTCTTTCCTGCTTACTTGTTCTTTGCGTACTACTGTAAAGTGTGACAACCTAAACTGATACATTTGTGCGCGGAGTTCTACTTTTATTTTTTCTGTCAGTCTCTGTCTGAGTGGTCTGCTGATGAAGATTTATTTATTCGCCTTTCATCCACTCTCATATTACTATCACTATACCATTATCAAAGGTTGAAACTCAAATCAGAATAGATGCTCACTATTATGTTAGGTGGAGGTGTCTTGGTGGCTTGTTTGAACTTTGGGCTGCCTCATTTTATCACGGAATATATTACATCAAATTTCTCCTTTCTATACTGTCTTAATAATTCAAATATGTTATCTGATCGCATTATACACTCCCGTGCGTTTTTATATTCATTACAACCTATCGCTTTACAAGTTGATATGCAAATTAAGAAAAAGCACTAAGGTTGATGGCAACGGGCTCTCAAGCTTATGACCCGTGGATCAAATGACTACTCCGGAAAATACTTAACACAAACTGCAGGTCGTTACCGAAGAAAGTTGATTACCTTCAGCCACTTCGATCCATAAGTATCTAACGGAATACGGGTGTAATAATGCTGCAGGAAACATGGCTTCATAACCTCTATGATGATGATTTAGTTTACCTAAATGATTGCAAAGTATTTCTACAAGATTGAAGCTCTTTCAAGAAGAAACGTGGTGGGGGTGTAGCAACATTTATCAATACAAACTAGTCCACCTCCAACTATGCATACTTTAGCTTCTCCAAGGAAAAAATTGAGCGCATTACCATTAAATGTTGTCCTGAACACTTGAGTAAGTACGAACACACATACATAACAAACATTTATGTCACACCTGTTTGCAGTTTCTCAGATTTTTCAACTTTTGCTGATGAATCCAGTGAATTTGCTACTCCGATTCTGGGTAACTCTTTGTCTATAGTCTATGGAGATTTTGATCCATGTAACCAGTTTCCTTGTATCACTGGGTCATGAAAATATGGTTAACTTTTCTACTCATCTTGACAGCACCCTTGACTTAGTATTCACAAATGAACTTGGCATATATAAAGCCCGGAAACAGGCTCTCCTACTGAATCCTGACAGCTGTATTGTACATGTTTTACCTAAAGTTTACGGCAAATCACACAAAAAAGCTTTCAGATATTTTTCCAAGAAAGTCCACTACAGATGTTTTTCACAAGAGAATATCTTACGTTTAGCGAGCATGCTTGAACTACTAGACTGCGATATATTTGATGAGGAAGTTTTAGACAACAATATCACAAGCTATCTCAGTTTCTGTCTCGATATTTGCAGCTCTGCTAAATCAATCTACATGAAATTTCACAGACTTCCCTCTCCTCATCTCAAGAGGCTCCGGAGAGAAAAGGAAAGATTGAATAAGACGAGAGATCACCCTGGCGTTAAGCAACCTTAACTGCTTAATTAAGTCTGAAATGCAACGTCTAAATATCATATACAGCCATAAGTTTCTATCGCGTAAGAACTCTTCCAGTATATCGAAATTACTGAAAGAGCTTACTGGTAGAAAACGGGTGACAAGAGAAGCTTGTCCAGACGTCTGCTCGTTAAATAAGTCATTCAAACGTTGGCAAGCTAATTTCATCCTTGCTAAAGTTCATAGTCAAATATATAGCTGCTTTTCTGGCTTTAATACAAATGAATCCATCCCAAAGCTTAGCTCATGATGGTGTTTCGAGTGTTGTATTTGGAAAATGTGCAGATATTTTCTTATCTCCTTACAGAAATCTTGAATGCATCGTTTTCTAAGAACACAATACCCGCTGCTTAAAAGGAGATAAAAGTTGTATCTGTGGCTAAGTCATTTTCTGGGTCAGATAGTAAGTTTCAACTCATTGTGATAACTTCCAATGGAGAAATTACTTGTCTTTTGTGCTTGAAGGTTTTCGGAGATCCGAAACAATTTGCTTACAAACACAGGAGAATTACTTTAGATGCTGTCACTCTCTTGCCTCATAATATTGTTTCTAGTCTAGACAAAGGTGTTAAGCATGCTTGTTGGGCCTTGTTGGATTACTCATCAGCCTTCGACTCTGTTCCTAGACCACCACTCTTGTTAAATAAGCTTGCCATTGCTCATAATGAGCCATGGGTTGCAAAGTGGTCGTATTGTTATTTTTCTGAAAGGAAACAGTATGCAGTCTATAAATGGAAGTGCTCAACTTCTTTGCTTACTGAATGAAGCTGGTGTGTGCCTCAACTTGCAGTGCTTTCTCCGTTTCTCTTCTCGTTCTTTTTGCACGATCTACCTTATTCTGTTGATACTAATTTTATTAGGTAGGCTGATGACTTGATAGTGTCTATTCCAGGCAACTCTCACTTGGATTAGTCTGAATTAAATGGATTCCTGTCTTTAATTGACCAATGGTCTCAAATTAAACCCTTTTAAATGTCAGACTGTTAATTTTAACCTCAAGTATAAACAAGACTTGTGTGAGCTGCCTAAGTCCCATGACGCCCTGTTGCATTAATATGGTATTTCTGCACAAAGTAAATCAATCGAGTGTTAACTACCTTCGACTGAGATTTACTTCTGACTTTTGGTGGTTGTCTCATATCTTGTTGACTTGTAAAAGTGTCTTTCGTTTGACGTATTACATAAAGAAACTAATACTGTCTGGTATAACTCAGCTTCTACATTTACAATTTGTTGATTCCTACACTTTGCCTATTTCCTATTCTCTGTATTGTTCCCCATTGATCTTTCCTGGTCTTCTAAAAGGGAACTATGTTATATTGTATAGGGCCTTGAAAGCCATGAGTAGGGTGAGTGGTGTGCGTGCCTGTGACTCAACTGTTTAACAGTGTAGTTGGTAGACATTTAGATTCTAGCAAGCAACTAACTGTGGTCATTTTAATTGACACTGAGCATCCACTTCATTTACAACTCTCTCCTTGTATCACCTCAGGGAGAGAGAGAGAGGACGAGAAGAAACTACATCAGACTGTGTGATCATACAGCTAGGTACGAGAATTCGTCTCTACCTCACCTAGCACGCATATCATGTGAGGAAAAGCGTGTTAGAACAGAACTCATAAATCAACTTTGTAACAATTAACCATCTTATTTCAACAATTTAATTCGCAATATAAAATGTTTCCATTTTTAATATTCCTCATATTCATGATGGATAGTGTCTAGTAGTGGAATCCAGAATGCGCATTTCGTCTTATTTGGGACTCGTCAGCTGGATATACCTGCCTCCCAGTGAGTGATGTGGATTCCCCTGCTAGCCACTACCCATCATTACTATACATAATTAAAACATAGGCAATATCGAGGTATCCGCACAGGAGCCTATATGCCAACAGAGACTGGTCTATTCGGTCCAATATATATATATATATATCCATATGGTTTGTTTTTGTTGTAATATGTCATGCTGAGGATTCCAAATTGTACCACAAATTATTGAGAATAAAGGGAATATTATTATCATATGAGTATTTGATGAATTGTCCAATGAATTCACTTTTAACGTCGCAGTGGTTGTAAGCTCATCGTTTGACTTTGATACCTTTTGTTGGATTTTGTTATAGGTGGAATTATTATGCAACACATTCGGTGATTGGCATCTGTTAAAATAATTGCCATTTGTACTTACTAACCTTTAAATATCGACATTCTTCTTGATGAATTTTTCATTTTTTTAATTGAGTTGTTTAGAAATAGGCAAACACGAATTGGTGGATTTTCTAATCTGACCTTATTTGTCTATTAACCAGATACCTATGAATGGAGCTGATAATTTGCACTATTTTCGAGTGTTAATTTTTTTAATCATATGTTAAGTTAACTTGTAGTATAACTGATTTGTATGTGCCAAATTCACCATACAAAATGTAGTGCATAATTAGGCAAACATATTTCAGAAAGGAGAACTGTCGAAATTCTTTTTCTGCAAGGGGTCACGCCCCAATTACTATACAGGCTCACCTTTGAATCGAAGTTACGTTGACTTTTTTGATGGTAGTCATCTCTGATCTGAGGTTTTCGAAGAAGATTCAGTGGTTACTGTGACTAAAAACCAGCATATTTTTCATTCATTATTTTAAGTATATAATACATTTTCTTTGTGATATATACCCTTAATTTTGGTTGCTATTTTGCCCATGACCTTAAAATAGCTATTTTCACACTACCCTCAAGGCTGAACTCTTATTGGTTGTTAACTACTTTTACCTATATGTGGATTTAGAGTTGTCAAGGTCATATATATATATATATATATATATATATATGTATATATATATATATATGTATATATATATATATATGTATATATATATATATGTATATATATATATATATATATATATATATATATATATATTCAGCACCGCTGTCACCTGTATTGACCATTGTTGAGACGGTAAAAAGCTCTCTGTCAACGGTCTGTCCTCTCTTCTTGTCTTCGTGCTTTGCTGTTGTGGTGGTTGACGTTGTGATTTCTGTTAGAGTCGATTCGCTGCACGTTAGGTTCGTATCGTTCGTAGTCTGCTAGGCTTAGGTCCTACTACCGGTCATAGCACTGTGTTGTACAATGTATGTTGTTATCTATGTTTCTTTTTATTTTCTATTTCAATATAATTTTAGGTTGGTCAATATGATTTAAATCGGCGAGCTGTAGATTATTTAATATTTATTGGAGCTCATCTTGTTGCACTTAGTCGACATGGTTTAGTTGGTGTTCGACATGTAATGACTAATGCATGGCAAGTAAGTTCTCATTCTACTTTTTGTTCGTGATGATTGTGAAATTCTTGTTGACTGATTTAAAGTAAATTTAATTCATCGCAGCATTTTGATACTCAGGTTTTTCGTCTCAATTTTGTGGCTTCTATAATAGTATCTATTGCCGAAATCAAAATGAATGGAGGAAAGCTGAAGCTTTCATTGAATAAATGCTGGAACTCCACATGTTTTGTAGTAATCAGTTACATACCTTGAGCATTTTTTTTTTTGACTATCATCAACATTTTAAAGGAATTAAGTCTCAGTATTATGTTATCCAGTCTTTGGTCCTGATCGGGGCTTATCGATCACCTTATCTGTTACAGTCAGATAGCACAGGAGTGATTGGTTATTACCTGAATGTGATCGATAAAAATAAACACGATTTCTAAGAGATCAAGTAATAGAAGCACAAAATGTTAGCCTAGATAAAAATAATCCTCAAACATATATTTTTTTATGCCTATGGATTGAAGTTGTGACCGATTGACCCAGACAGTTGACTTTCTACCGATGAATCAAGGATTCAGACCAAACTCCATGTACAGAAGTCTAGTCACTTCTAGGCAACATCACTAACCTTCATACGATAAGTATGACTCATTATGTTAGGCATAAATGTGTACGAATGGTTGTTGAGTTCATTCTTGTTAACTAAGGAATGAATTTCACTGGCTAACTAGTCATAGTAAATTTGCTAATTTGTTTTACAGACTATAAGAATCATGATGGCGCTCAAATATACATGTTTACTTCTCACATAGATCGACCTTACTTAGTTTATGCTTAACAGGGAGTTGATGAAAATTATTGTTTACTACTGTCCATACTGGGTCAAATTCGTTTGGAAAACTAATGAAATTTCAAAAAACGATCGAATATTGTTATTGGATGATGACTAAAGGTGAAGTGAAAATTCGGACCGCAGTCGGATTCGAACCAGCGACCACCGGGTTCCCGTTTCGATGCTCTGCCCGCTGAGCTACAAGGCCCGACTGCTCACCAGGTTTCTATTTCACTTCAATCACAAAACAGAGTTTCACCCGACCACCATGTGAATTGTCGACGCATTACTACTGCTTGATCGTATTCACACTGCCTGGCTCGACCTAGTCAGGACTTCTCATCCCAATCGAATTAGAGAGGGGTAGCATCATATTGATTATCATTTGACTATATGAGATAGCAGTCGTAGTTTGGCAGACTAGTATTTATACTAGGTAATGATTAAGGGTGGAATAAAACTTTGGGTTGCTGCCGGATTCGAGCCAGCGACCACCGGGTTTCCGACCGCGTTGCTCTACCAACTGAGCTCGTTTAGTAGGATAATATGCGCATTTTAACAAGCTGACTATCTGTTAAGTGGTTGCCGTTTCCTTGAACGACAAAGTGTCTACTTACTAAAAGATTTGTGCATACAATATATATCTAGAGACTTTCCGTAAGCAACATGTGGAGTTGTGCTTTATTGGTTTAGACTTTCAACCAGTGCGATGGGGGTTCGAACAGCGCTGCATCTACCGAGAGTTGAAAAACCATGAAGTATCACACAATGGGTGCTTCTCATTGCTTACCGCATGAATGCATACAAGGTTACTAAGTGGGTTTCGTTCGTTTGGGATGTAAGTAACATTGTTGAAAGCCTGTGACTTATTTGTTGTAAAGGATTTCGTATACTTTAACATCTACCTACGCAATCTGTGTTGACTTTTAATTTCTTTTTAATTGCTTATTTACTCTTGTCATATATTTTCAAGGTTTGGAGTACTGTCCCCATATTGAGTTATGGTGTTGCTGGTTCCGAACTTTTACTTTTGGGTTGTGCAAATGGATGCATATGCAGTATAAGTAAGGTCATAGTATTTATACATTCTGTTTTATTGAAACATATAATGGATCAATTCTTTAACACTATTTTTTATCTCTATTAACTTGGAATGTCACTTAGAAATTCATCAGTTCAATTTACTACAATTCACAGCAGTATCCAAGGTACAAGTGGATAGTAAAAAGAGCCATATGAAAGGTAGACAAAAATGTGTGGTTAAAGAAAGAATTCGAAAGTGGTAAGACTTTAAAAGATTTCCGAATGAATACATCCACATCATTGTGATCATTATCCAACCATGCCGTCAAGCATCTGCAACCATTGATTCCTCTCAACTCGAGGACCCCAAATCAGGATGTCTACACCTCCCTACATGACTGTGATCAGCAGTCAACGACTTCATGGACTGTTGCCAGTTTTTGTTTCAGACACCTGGAGCCTATTCTTAATCTAGTTAACATTGCACGTCAAGGTAGGCGGTAGCTTGGCATATGTGACACATCTCCAAAGTAACTCAGGAATCCCTTCACCTTAGTTATATACTATGTTTGTACTGTTTGGTTATATTCTCTTCAATACTACAGTTGTAGATGTTATTTTAAAATCGCTGCGTTTCATAATTTCTTTGCGTGTTGTTATGACTTGAGTCGATGTGAACCGAGGCCTTTTTACGAGCTACTACATTGTACTATTTATCACCCATCCATAACACTAATAGTAAAGAACGAAAGTAACCATAATGACAAAATTAACAATAGCACTCTACATTTCTTCAGTTTAGGGTTATTTCATCATTTAAAACTGTGCTTCTATATCGCTCAGTGGGTTACAACCTTAAAAAAAGTTAAGAGTAGGCTAACATTTTTTTCACACTATCCTTCCAGGGATTGTGGTAGACTGGATCATGTAGCAAACTGTGAGGAGCGAGAATATGGGCATACGCCGGCTGGACCGATGAAAAGACCCTAGAAGATTTGGATTTCACCAATGATGACTTATGTCTAATATCGCACAAACTCGAAGATCTACAGGCGAAAACTAACAAGTTGACAGAAGCGGCAGTGAAAATGGAACTTTAAGTGAATGTAGAGAAGACAAAGGTGATGAAGATATCCAACCAACAACAAGCTGCAATCACCATCAGGGAAAGAAATCTAAAGGAAGTTGTCTCTTTCACCTACCTACCTAGGCACCAACCTTTCAAGTACAGGCGGCACAGACACAAATGAGGACGTCAAAGCCAGCCAGGATCGGAAAGACAGCAAGACAGGCTTTCACTAATCTGAAATCAGTGTGGAGATCTACTACACTCCACTCCACTCAACATAAAGTGTTAACAACATCCGGATTTTCAACACTAAGTCAGTCAGTCAAGTAAGTCAGTGTTCCTATGTGGTTGAGCGACTTGGCGCCTCACGAAAAGCGTTTCCAACAAACCGCAGACCATTCATCATCAACAGCTGTCACCTACTCTCACTCGATACTGAAGATGGAGATCAGATGGCTAGAATAATAAGAATAAGCAGGGAGGAACTGTGGCTGGCAATGAACCAACCGTGAACCTATCACCCAACAAATATGCAGAAGAAAGTGGAGATGGATTGGATTGTACATATACTGAGAAGACCGTTTGAGGATATCATGCACTATGCCCTCGAGTGGGAGCCAAATGGGAAAGGACAAGTTGGTCGTCCGAGGCGAGGTTGACATGGAGGAGATCGTGTGAGGAAGAAATGGAAGGTTGTGGACAGTCGTGGAACCAGGTTAAAAAGACTGTAGAGAACAGAGAGAAGTGGTGAAGTGATACTGAAGCTCTATGTTGCACTAGGAACCCAAGGGAAAAATAATAATAATAATAGTAATCCTTTCAGGGATGGACATATAACCTTAGGTATACGTGATTTTACAAGGATTGATCTACTCCTATCTGGTTGACTTGGAGTATGCCCACGGTATTATCCTGCTAGGTGAAGACGTTGATAAAAGCCAGCGTCTTCTGAAATTGTCGAACAAAAATCTATATGTGTTTTGCTGGCATGCTTTTCACTGGCACCTATCAAATGTAATATGATGCTCCAGGATTGTTCTGTTGTCTTTACTCTCAGGTTAAAAATAAGAAATTAAGTGACGCAATGTGTCGACTACTTCACATACTTGGCAAGTTACATCAGCTCCAACAAGCTGGTTGCTGACAAAATGTCGCCTCGGATGCATAAGGATCGTTCGACGTTTGCTAACTTGCGTTATCTGTGGCGCCGATGGGTGAGATATCCGAGTATCCTTCAAAATACGGCTATACTTCATTGCAGTCTGTTCTCCACTGCTACACGACTCTGAAACGTGGCCGTTGAAAGTAGAAGGTACGAAGCGATCACATGTTTTCGACAACAGAAATCTTCGTAGCACTACTCGCATTTGTTGAAATTACCGCGTAGGCAATTTTGAGGTTAGGTGAAGGGTACTAGGCAAGACAGACAAGTCGTTTGATGAGGTTGTGAACCTTAGTCGATAGAGATAGCTCGGACATGTACCACGCATAACGAGTCATTACCTTCCTCGATGTACCATGCTAAGAGAAGCTGGGTTAGGTTGGAGGAGGGTTTAAGGTGGTCAGACCAAGACGTGACACCAGTCCATGTATTCCCTAGCTGTAAGTCTGAACTTTGTTGAGAGATGTAGAAGGCTTGGTTGATGTTTTCGTGACAATAGGGATCAGTGGTTTGGGACTGTTTGTGACTTGACTGAAAATTGGTCGCAATGTAGCGGATGTATTCGCTCCTTGACATCTAAAGCTCGAATATTTGCACTAACCTTTATCTTTAAACTGCTTGTTCTCTCAAACAACGTTTTCTACTTTAGTATCACTCCCTGTCTATCCACCTGTTCATTGAGTACTACTGTAGCAGCTTGAGCTTGTCTGTGAGGTTCTGCGTTGATTTTGCCAATGTCAATGTCCCTAGACGATTTAAATCTGAATCTCTCACTTCTGAAGTCAAAGACTAGATAGCTGCGTTGATGACTCACTGTTGATCGATACTACAACTTTAAGACCGTGTATTATGTTGCGCAGAAAGTTGTAGGATCCTCATTAAAGCTGGAATTATGGTATCATTTAAACCTACAAACTCAGAGATAAGCTTTTTCGGCTTCAGAATCCGATAGAACCAGTTACGCAAAATAACTTAATCCATAAAATTCCATTTCATGATTGCGAGGTCAAATACATAAGTCAAACTAGCCGGTCGGGGTCAATTAGAATAGCAGAACAAAGGAATCTAGCTAAATGTAGAATGACAAATCTGAATATGATCAATAATCTAGAAAAATACTCGGCTATATTGCAATGGATGCATTAACACACAACTACACAATAGGGTAGAATAAAACCACTGTACTTAAGTTCAATATAGTTAGGTGGAGAGAAAGACTGACTACTGAATTTTTTTTCATCGAATCAACACTCAACACATGTAATAGAAATGACGCAACACCCATACCAGAGAATTGGAAAGTCTAACTACCCATGAAAATAACTCATATGAGGTGACAGAACTCATTAATGACTAGCTTCGGGAGGTATTCCCGAAGTTCCAATGAGAAGTCGTGTCGTAACCGGCGGGGGCAAAGCCTGCTGGTCGTGAGGACAGTTACTCTCAACGATGATATTGGGTGGCGGTTGCGCTATATCGTGAGCTAACAGAAGTTGGAAATATGGACCATTGGATCCTGACCCAGTAGCTCAACGGTAACGTGCTGGCCACGGAACCTGAAGGTTGCGGGTTCGACCCCTGGCGGGGTCGTGGGTACGCACTGCTGAGTCCCATACTAGGACAAAACAGCTGTCCAGTGTCCCCAGGTTTCCTTTGTTCCTCCAACCGATATCGGTCTACATACATAGGTCAAACTAGCTGGTCGGGGTCAGTTAGATTAGCAGAACATAGGAATTTAGCTAAACATAGAACGGCAGACCCCAATAAGATCAATAACCTAGAAAAACACTCGGCCATTGCATTACATTCATTAACACACAACCACACAATAGGATGAGACAAAACCACTGTACTTAAGTCTAATATAGCTAGGTGGAGAGAGAGATTAATTACTGAATCTTTGTTCATCGAATCCACACCCAACACATGTAATAGGAATGACGCAACACCTATACCAGAGATATGGAAAACTTTACTACCAATCAAAAAACAAAAAAACAAAGAGAGATCAGGTGACAGGACTATAAAATCAGATGTCGAAAGAAGTGTGATTACATTGATATGATTATGAGCAATAATTTATGCTCGAAACGTAATCAAGTAAATAATACTGTATCACTGTGCGCTTTATATCAAATAAACAAATCTAATATGGAATAACAACTAGAACTATAAAAATCAGATGTCAAAAGTGATGTGATTATAATCAATGGTTTACGCTTGAAACGTCATCAATTAAGTGATACTGTACCACTGTGCGTTATAAACCAACTAAATAAATCTAATTTAAAATGTCGAAATTGATTTGGAAGTTAGTAAAATTTCATTACTTGGTCAACACAAATGTAAAAGATTACAAAGTTACATCTGGTTGATTTAGGGATGTGATTATCATCCTCTTCCTTTGAGCATAAACTAAAACTTGCTTTATCCCCTGGAAATCTTAGTCAGCATGTGGTGTTATTATTTCCTGCTTGATAAAATTATCAGCATGGCATATTTTATGCTTATACTTAAGTGTTTACTAAATTTCGGTAATTGATAGCAAGAAATAACTCGAAGTTTGATGTGTAGGTTGAATTGTAACTGTTGTATAAAAACCGATAAAAGGCGTTGACTTATATCACATACTTTTTCCTAGTCATATCATTATCGTTCAATGATTATTAAAGATGGTTGAGAAACATATTTCTGTGAATACATAGAAAGATATAATTGGTTAGATGTAGTCCGTTGGGAACTCTAGGATACAATTTTATACTTGTTAGCAGTTATCAGCGTAGTATATATTTGACTGATTTTAGCTCAGTTATTCGGATCTACATCCTCTAGCTCTGAAGACGGAAGGATCATTATCAAGCTCTTCGAACTATGACTCACCTCCTATAAAATTGAGTTAGTTAGATATGTTGACTAACTGCCTAATCAGGATCTATTATCATATTATCCAGACCTTAGTACCGATCGCATTCTATCTGTTTAGTTGATTAAATAAATACTTGACATTACAGCGCACTTAGTTGTTTGACTGAAAATGGTTATGACAAAATACCGAATTCACACTTAGCTGTTGTAAACTATGACTTGTGTATTGCATTAAAATTCTCTAAACTAGACTAATCTTTTTCTAACAATGATATATAGATGCAGCCTAAAGTAACTGTATAACGCTTGAATAAGCTAACAAAGCAGTAAGTTTGATTATCAGCTCCCTAAGTAGTCTGTATAATTGAATAAAGGTACTTACTTTGAATAGGAACCTGAAATTACAAACAATAACATCGAAACTATACCTGTTTCATAAGGAGTGGCTATTGTGCTTTTGTGGTCTTGTAGATAACACTGCCGTTTGAAGCGATCATTCCTAGATTCGAGTCTTAAGAGAAACAGCACCACTCACTGGGAGGCAGGTGGACTCAGCCAACGAGTCCCAAAAAGGAAGAAACGCGCGTCCTGAATTCCACTACTAGCCAATATTCATCATTAATATAAAATTGAAACACAGGCAGTGTCGAGGCATCTGCGAAGAAGCTTATATACCATTAGAAGTCGATTGATTGCTAGTGTCTCAGTAAATCGCACTTCTTGATCAGCAGACCTTTATATTGGGTAACATTGAGAACTAAGGTTTTCACTTAGCTTCAGTTGTCATTATTGCATATTATGATGATCTCGAATATTCGAAGTATGATTCTTTCCGCTTTGATTTCCAACATTTTTGTTTCATATGTAATCTGTATTTGTTTTTCCGTTTTCTAATATTTATTAGATATACAAAAATTCCCTTTACGAATAGTGGACAATGATCTACTGGTAACAGAAATGTATCGTGATCCCCTACGTGATCCAATCACTGCACTCAGTGTACATTTATCACCGAAGACATGTAAGTATCTGATTTCTTGGAGTTTTATTCACTGCAACATGAAGAGAATAACAAGTAATATATTTCAAGCTTTAGCCTTTTCATTCCTTTAGCCTAAACATAAAAGTTACCCTGTGACGCTATGAAATAAATGTACCTTAGCAAGGTTGATGATAGCGCCTAATAGTTCAAAACTCAGTCGAATAAATGGTTGATATTTCAACAGCTGTGTTACTGAGTTATATATATCGGTAAAAAGATTTCATTGAGAGAATGTTTCCTCCCTGATAACACAATTATCTTACGAGTTGTAAATGTATCCTCTTAGGAAATACAAAATTTGTGTCTGTAATTCCACTTTTAGTTAGTTTGTGGGGAGATTGCACTTATCGTTTAAGTTCATACAGAACTATAGATGCTTGTGTAATGAACTGTTAAAATAGTCTATACAGTAATTCACCGCACACCCTAAGGAGCTTTGACTGACCTCTAGAGATACCAATTGTCACATACTACCGAAGGATCCCGCTTTATAACTAAACGAGTTTTTATTGGTTATTCAACTTATATTGTAGCTGTGGCCCATTAGTCTAGCTTTTTGACTTTCAACTAGTAGCTGATGAGCTAGAACATCTTCCCATTAGCTGGAGTTTTGTTACCAGTTTGTATCATCGCCCGTCACACAGTTAGTACGGCTTATTGCCTATTGCGCGTACGCGCATTCATTACCGGGCGCATTGTGATATTTGCTATATTTTGATGTTAAACGGTAGGAGTCAATCGACTAGAAACGCTGCTCCACCCAAGTTTTGTACTTGTAGCTACTCAGCAGTTGGGTGTATCTCTGAACATGAGGCGACCGACCCGGACCTGTGTAACTCAGTTCGGAAGTCAAAGATTTAACCATCAAGCCATACATACATACATACATACATACATACATACATACATACATACATACATACATACATACATACATACATACATACATACATACATACATACATACATACATACATACATACATACATACATACATACATACATACATACATACATACATACATACATACATACATACATACATACATACATACATACATACATACATACATACATACATACATACATACATACATACATACATACATACATACATACATACATACATACATACATACATACATACATACATACATACATACATACATACATACATACATACATACATACATACATACATACATACATACATACATACATACATACATACATACATACATACATACATACATACATACATACATACATACATACATACATACATACATACATACATACATACATACATACATACATACATACATACATACATACATACATACATACATACATACATACATACATACATACATACATACATACATACATACATACATACATACATACATACATACATACATACATACATACATACATACATACATACATACATACATACATACATACATACATACATACATACATACATACATACATACATACATACATACATACATACATACATACATACATACATACATACATACATACATACATACATACATACATACATACATACATACATACATACATACATACATACATACATACATACATACATACATACATACATACATACATACATACATACATACATACATACATACATACATACATACATACATACATACATACATACATACATACATACATACATACATACATACATACATACATACATACATACATACATACATACATACATACATACATACATACATACATACATACATACATACATACATACATACATACATACATACATACATACATACATACATACATACATACATACATACATACATACATACATACATACATACATACATACATACATACATACATACATACATACATACATACATACATACATACATACATACATACATACATACATACATACATACATACATACATACATACATACATACATACATACATACATACATACATACATACATACATACATACATACATACATACATACATACATACATACATACATACATACATACATACATACATACATACATACATACATACATACATACATACATACATACATACATACATACATACATACATACATACATACATACATACATACATACATACATACATACATACATACATACATACATACATACATACATACATACATACATACATACATACATACATACATACATACATACATACATACATACATACATACATACATACATACATACATACATACATACATACATACATACATACATACATACATACATACATACATACATACATACATACATACATACATACATACATACATACATACGATAGAATTTATCTTTTGTTTCACATCTTTTAGATTAGAAATATCTTGTTTAAAAAAATCTAGTGATATACCACCACGATAACAGAAAATTTGATTTTCTATCATAGCTGCTATAGGTAAACAGTTGAAAATATCTAGAAAATACTTTCATAATTTTATATTTAACCGCCGTTCATATTTATCAAGGAATCCATAAATTCGTGTTATCGCTTGTCATTCATGATAACCATGAAGTAAGTAAAAAGTGTTTAGATGTTTCACTTTATAGGCGAACAATCAACTTATTGTCTCTAAACTTTGTTACCCTCTATCAATACAATCACCTAGAAATAAGTAGGTGAAGTCGTACTGCTGTTAGCTAGATGGGGTGTGACAGCAGTAAGGTGTTTCCCTTGGATGACCAGCAGTGGCATGCTGATGCTGACTTCTCAGTAGAAGGTGGAGGTTAGAAAAGGTCAGCCCCAGAAATAGCACACTCCACTATACCTCCCGGTCTGCCGGGTCGGTGGTGTTGGCTCATTTATCGTTTCTTTTCGACCATCCGACCCCGAAACAACAAAAATTCGTCATCTAGGGCGCCGACTGGCGAGATATCCGAGTACCTATAAAAATACGATTATACTTCGTTGCAGTCTGTCCTCCACTGCTATACGACTCTAAAACATGGCCGTTGAAAGTAGAAGATACGAAGCGATCACATGTTTTCGACAACAGAAATCTTCGTAGCACTACTCGCATTTGTTGAAATTACCGCGTAGGCAATTTTGAGGTTAGGTGAAGGGTACTAGGCAAGACAGACAAGTCGTTTGATGAGGTTGTGAACCTTAGTCGATAGAGATAGCTCGGACATGTACTGCGCATGCTAAGCCAAGAGAAGCTGGATTGAGCTGGAATAGCGTTCACGATGGCCAGACAAAAACGTGACACCAGTCGATGAAGTCACTGACTCTTTATCTAAGTTGTATTGAAAGATGTAGACTGGCTGCTTTGAGACTTTCTGTAACATGGTTGAAAATCGGTCACAGTAGTACAAATATATATTCACTCCTTGACACCTTCTAAAGCTTGTATATCTGCACTGACCTTTGTTTTTGAATTGTTTATTCTGTCACACAACTTTATCTACTTTAGTATCACTCTTTTTCAATCGACTTGTTCATTGCATGTTGGTGTGAATTGTAGCGATGCAGTCACCCAGTTAGCAGACTCACCATCATTTTACACCTGAATAGATGTTAGTTGGTTGGACGTAATCGCATAAAATTCCTGAGCCCAAGTTTCGTTCTAATCGACGATTATTTTCAACAAACTGGTATAACTCAATTCTTCGTTTTATCTGAAAGTAATTACAATTAAGCAAATCAAGAATGTTGAATACACGACTTTAGAAAAGTCTTGGGTGTATTGTGTTCTTTGAGCTGGGTTGTTTGGTCGTGGAGCTTTCATCGTCTTGCTAGACGACATCATCAGCACTGACTTCAATATAAAGTAAATATTTCTGCTAACAAAAACTACACAAACAATTGATAATCTTCCGTGGGGTAGAGTCTTGTTAGTTCAAGTGTTAAATTGTGTTTTTATGGATTTTCGGTCGAAGTTGAGTTTCAATTACCAAGGTTTTTAAAAGTCAGTCAACATCATTAGAGTCTATATTCAGGATTTACCTAGTAAATTAGTCTGTGATGCTGTTAGTGATTAATTTGATTTATTTCCACTAATTACTGTAACAGTGTAAACTACCAGTATTATTACCGTATGAATATGTTTTCATTTATTTCTGTATATATCCATTATCTTTTATAAAGCTTATTCAAGTCGTAATTGGATGGAAATAGCATATGGTACATTGTCTGGTCGTGTATGCTTAATAGTACAACATCCAGAAACTGTTGGCTATAGTCCACAGTTATTTCAAACTTTTAATGTGCATCGTTCAATGGTTACACGTGTTGTTCTATCGGAGAAGTATCTAATCTCAGGTATACATTTATTTTCTAAAACAAAATTATTATTATTTGTCCCTACGGTTGCTAGTAGAACATAGAGCTTCATTAGCACGTCTCCATTGTACTCTGTTCTCTGTAGTCTTTTTAACCTGGTTCCACCACTGCCTACAACCTTTCATTTCTTCCTCACACGATCTCCTCCATGTCACCCTTGGTTTGGACGCCCAATTCGTCGTTTCCCCTTTGGATTCAACTCGAGGGCCTGGTGCGTGATGTCCCCAGTCGGCCCTCTCAGTGCATGTCCAATTCACCTCCACTTTCTTCTGCATATTTGTTGGGTGACAGTTTCTTGGTTGGTTCATTCCCAGGGTTCCTTGTTCCTTATTCTCGTTATTCTGGTCATCTGATCCCCATCTTCAGTATCGAGTGAGCGTAGGGGGCAGCTGTTGATGATGTTTGCGTGCAGTTTGTTGAAAATGCTTTTCGTAACACACCAAGTCTCTGAACCATCACATAGAAGCACTGACTTGACGTTGGTGTTGAAATTCCGGATGTTGTTCACACTTTATGTTGAGTTGAGTGGAGTGGAGTGTAGTAGATCTCCACACTGATTTCAGGTTAATGAAAGCCTATCTTGCTGTCTTTTCGACCCTGGCTTCGAAATCCTCATCTGTGCCACCTGTGGTTGAAACGTTGGTGCCTAGGTAGGTAGGTGGAAGAGACAAGTTCCTTTAGATTTCTTCCATTGATTTTCTGATCGGTGCTTGTTGCTCTTGTTGTTGTTGATTATGTATCTTCATCACCTCTGTCTTCTCTACGTTCACCTGAAGTCTCGTCAGTATCGGAGTAGATTATTGACTCTCCAGTTGACAGTTTGGAGAGTCCAGTTCCATTCCATCTGCTCTCGTAGATTCCTACCCTAGCACTTCTATGCCATATCTCCTCATTTCTTTTACAATCTGGGCAGTCTTGCTAGGTCCAAACATCGTACGGATATTACATGTTACCATGCTTAATTTCGCTTTCATCAAGGGAGAGAAGACACATCGGCCAACTGACTTCCCAAAGGCTTTCACCAACCGGCGTCATTTCGACTCCCCGTTTTCAGCAAGGAATAAGTTTATTTTTATTTTTTGCATTTTTTTTGTGTTTTGAAGTTTCTTTAGCGATTGAATTGGTCGTCTGGGGTAGGACTGCTAGCCGTATGCCCAACCTTCTTTGCTTATCCGGACTGGCTAGTAACTAGTGAACTAGTTGACCAGATTATCATTTTGAGCCTACTTCGGGGTAGCATTCACTAGATATTACCTTTGGTTTTGAGTCTGTATTTCAACTGGTCGACTAATGGTTTTTTTAGACATCTATGAATGAACAATATCCAGAGTTTTCCTACCGTATATCTCAGACTACACTTGAAATCGCATAATAATAGGAAAATATGAAAATCACCATTTGAGCTAATTAATGCTAAAGGTTGTCTTCGTGTTCACTTAAATTGACTATGGATACCTTTTGGAAGGCAGACTTATTACCGCCCAACTCACTGAAAAGCGTTAGTTCAAGGATTATTTGTTTGACTGAGAGGATGATGTAATTTATTTAAGATATAAAAGTTGTCTTGTTAATTTCTAAACCGTTATTATGTTTTAAGTTGAAGTCTTAGAACAGGTGAAATTTCTGACACGTGCTAAATGAAAACACAAAAAGACGAAGAAATAACAGTAATAGGAATAGGTATAATGGTGATAATATGAGTAGATATAAGTTGAAAGCTTCTGTTGTGTAGCTATATGAGGAAGGAACATCAGAAACTTTACGTAGGATTCTCAACACAGCTGGAAATTGACTAGTATTCAAACCTACGAACTCACTCAGAGATAAGTTTTGTCCACTAGCTTAGGGATCTGATAGAATCAGTTAAGCAAAATAATCTAATCTAATAAATTCCATACAATAACCGAGGGGTCAAGTTAAACTAGCCCTGTTGGTCGGGTCCAGTTAGAATAGTGGAACATAGGAGTTTAGCCAAATATAGAATGACAGATCCGAATCAGATCAATAACCCAGAAAAAACTCTTCTACTATTTCACTACATGCATTAACATATAACCACACAATACGGTGGTAGTTGACTACTAAATTTTTGTTCATCAAATCAACATGCAACACATGTAATAGAAATGACGCCACACCTGTACGAGAGATATAAAAAATGTTTACTAACAATAAAAATAAATAATGTGAGGTAGTAGGACTATAAAAGTCAGATGTCGAAAGTAGTGTGGTTGCATTGCTAAGAATATGAGCCAGATATCCCATCAAGGATATAATACTGTTCCACTACGCGATAGATTTGAAATAAACAAATCTAACTTGGAAGTAAACTGTACTATCTAACTGTAAGGAATCACTGGTTACCTATGTATTTATGGGTTAGTAATTGATGGTTTTTCCTTGTACTAATTATTCCTATGAAAGGTTTTAATTATGACTTTTGTAATGATTGACAGATGAATATTAAATAAAATTAATGAAAATTTTTTTTGATAATACATAGTTATAACTAGTATGATTCATTTCTGATGTAACATACTACTTCAATAGAGAAAAGAAAATACTCTATGAATTGGTGAACTTTCAGTAACCGAAGTGTCAGAGACATACATATTTGGTGCATGCTCAACGTCTTTCTCTCTCCTTTGGCAAGCGATATTAGCTGAAATAGGATTAGGTTGTAAACAAAATGCTGAGAATAGCACAAATACTGACTGAAGTACTTGGCATGTTAAGAATCAATATTTGGAGACTTTTATTGACCCTGTTCAAAACTGATTAAAATGGTGTATATTTATACACTCTATCATCATCATCATCACCAAAATTTCGAACATTTTATTAACATTCATTAATCTATCCTTTCTTGTCTACTTCATTATTATTCTATTTGTGATGAGCTGTTGGGAAATATGGTAACTGGAATTGATATACTTCTGTGCAAAGTTTTACAATGATTTGTTTCCATCAGTAATTTTCTCTACTGATGTTCATCAATTATTTTATTAGGGAAATTGTTTCGACTATGATGAAACATATCACTTGAACTGTTCGATTATTAGTTATTCATTCAGTCCAGTCTAATATCTGTACACTGACACTCATTGTTCTGATATTACAATTGATGTCAAAACAATTGGTATTATATCCTAATCAACCTTGTAATCTCTTTCACTATCCTTCTACTGTAGTCGAACTCAAGAATTTTGATATCTTCCTTCTAATATCCTCAAAAAGCCAAAAATTCACACCTCTGAATACAAGAGTTTCACTGTGATTTGCGGCTTGCAGGTGATAGCATATGAATCATAGTATAAAAAGTATAAAGATTGATTTTATACTGACTTTAAAATACTTGATGATGCATTAAAAGAAAGTAAACTTCTGAGAGAACTAGGTTTATCATCAGAACATTGTTGCCATTGTAAATTCATGCTTTCCAAGAACCCAAGAGATTATAATTTCGCGTAAACAGTGAAAATGCTGTTACAGATATCTTGATGGCCGCTTACGTTTTTTGATATCAGATAGCAGATATCTAAACTGGTTATTGAGTTATGCATACTGGGATCGTTAGAATGAGAATCTGAACATTATAGACTTTCAATTGTCTAATTTACATACTTATGCATCGAGTAAGACTGAACGTTGTTCAAACATAACACCAGGTAATCTACACTTCCTCCCAGTCTGACACCTCATGGACTCGTACCATGTCTTGGTCTAGCTGCTATGGATCTTCTAACCTAATCCTACTCTGGCTAATACTGTATGTTGAGTTAGGCCGTGGATCGGCTTGCAGAACACATGTTCAAACCATTTCAGTTAATGAAGGTTTGCTACCCTATCCTCCGACTTGCCTGCCTTACCTGGTACTATCCTTCTAACCTCGGGATCGCTCACAGGACGATTCCACCATGCATGAGCAATGCTATAAAAAGTCTGTGGTCTATAACTGCTTCATATATTCTACCTTCAACACCCATGTCTCATAGCCTTGATAGAGGACAGAACGAACTGCAGCGTAGTATTCTCGTCTTTTTTAATATGTATGCGGATATCTCGCTGGTGCAAGAGATGATGCAAATCAGCAAGTGCCAAACGGGCCTGTCAACGATGTCTCTGTACGTCTCCAGGGAAATTAACTGGGAACGTTGATAGAGATCATTTATCGTGGATACCGTTGGCTGTTGTCAATTCAAATAGCAACTCTCCGTGAGCCCTTACATGGTCGTATGAGTTCGAGTAAAAGGCTTTAATTAGTGTTAAATATTTATTCGGTACTTCTTCCACGGTTAGATAATGCCATAATACCTCACAGTCAACAATATCGAATGCCACCTTCTTGTCAAGAAATATAGCAGGTGTTGGGCATCATTAAGTTTGAATGTATTTCAAAACCTGTCATAGGGTGAAGAACTGGCCCATTCACCTTCGTCTAGGTCTGAGACATGATTGGTTTCCTCGAGTTTCCTGGGATCTTGAACACGATGATAGCCAAACTGATTCCCCTTTAATTGTCACAACAAGACTTGCCTTCTCTCTTGTAGACTGGAATAGTCAGTAAAGCATAATAGTCTGGCAGGACTATCTCTAATTCCGGTGCACCACTTACCACCCTTGTTAATCTACTGTATACTTTTGATGTAAATATGAAGAATAAATTCTGTTCTCAACGTCATCTAGTAAATAATTCTGTTTCACCATATTAAATATCTAACATGGAATTATACAATTGCACAGTGCCGAACTTCTACTCCTACATTATTGAAAGAACCTTCTCAACTTCCAGGAAAGTTGTAGGACCTACATCTTCGTCCCATTCAGCTTCGGTTTGGATACTGGGTAACTAAAGTGTTGTTGTGGACTAGTTGAACTGTGCTTCAAAGTGTTCCGCTCAATACTACCCACTGTCTTGAAAAGTTATTAGAAACCTTATCGTTTTTTATGATAGTCTCACTGGATACCATCTTTTCTTGTCACTATTCTTAATAGACTTAAACAATTGTCGAGTATTACTTTATGATAATGCCTTTATCTCTTTCGCTTTCACTACCCACAACTTTTCTCGATCAATTCAAAGACTCTTAACCATTTCACTTCTGAGATACCTTTGTTCTTCATCGTAATCAGAGCCAGTTAGAATTAATCTTTTCCTATCAATGAGTTCGGATAAGATTGTGAAAATCCACTGTTGCTTTACCGTTCCTACATTTGCTGACTTTCAGTTATTTCAGCACATTGTATGATGATTATTTTGCGGTAAACGTTTTCATCTTTTTATTATAATATTATTTCTTCAATCGTTTAGTTTGTAATGAATTTCATCATGTACGTACATGGGCAGTAACACGCTTCCGTGGTGTTATCAGTACACAACCGAGTTCAACACCAGTTGGTTCCTTTCATATAACAATATTAGATATGAATAATTCTACACAACAGTTAATCGATTCTGTTCTACAGGCTGCACAAAAATGTCATACACAAAAATCTCAGTCATCATCCAATGAAATTGTCCGAGCTCATTCTAACCTTGGTACTAATTTGATGCGTAATAGTAGCAGTAATAATAATAACAGTAATAGTGCAGTTACTGATACATCAAGTCGTTCTAATGCTTCATCTCATTGGCATCCACGTGGTTCAAATTCACGTTCACCTAGTGCTCAATGTATTTCACATGAACCATCAACTTCCTCCTCATCAGTAGCTCAGTATGATTGGAATTTTCAAAATAATACAAATGCTAACATACCAACATTCTGTTCAAACTCATCGAATAGATTTCACCGAACTGATTTACCGATAAACTATCCAACATCCATTAATAGATCAAGTATATGTCATGTAGTAGGCGATGGTGGAAGTGTTGATCTCTGCTCAAATACACAATCAGATATTGTTGTTCTTCCACGTACAACATGGCTTCATGAAGATCCAGGGTAATGCATTTTGATCGTTATTGTCAATTCACTAATTTTATTTTATGTTCATATTCAAATAAATATGTAAGACAGAAACTCATGAAATCAGTTTACTATCGATTGGTTTTTGTTATTTTCAATATACCCATGAAAATACCAAGGAAGGTAAAAAAGTATCTACTTGGGACCTGACTGCCTTGTTGGGGTCTCTGAGACGATAGGAATCAGTGATTGAGAATTCTTGCTGATATGGCTGAAAATCGGTCGGTCACATTGGCGCAGATGTGTTCACTACTTAAAGACTTCTTAAGTCTGAATATTTGCATTAACCTTCATTTTCAAATTGCTTATTCGCTCACACTACTTTATGTACTTTAATATCAATCTTTTTCCATCCACCTCTCGTTTGTGTACTACTGTGAAGTGTGGCAACTTGAGCCGATGTGTATAAGGTCCTACGTATTCAGATAACCATTTATTTCCAGCCAGCTCGAAATCCACTATTCGGTGTTCATTTTTCCTCATTTTTATTTCACGGCAAGGTTGTCCTATGTATACTGGATCATACTCTGAGGATTTTATTTATAAACACAATTAGATTGTGAATCTAGAGAGATCTTGTCCTTCAGATGAACTAATATCCCCTGCAACGTGTTTGATGTTCTGTAGGACACTGGTATTTTATTTGTTGAGCACTCCTAATTTCATCTTATATGTATGATCTATAAGGGATAACTGTTGTTGAGGCATATGACTTAAGAGTAGTTCTACGACCTAATTTAGTGTTATTTTCTATTTTGCGAGTGAATTTTATCGGATAACTATTCATTTTAACTATGTTCTTCACGTATTTAATTCAACTCTTCCATTTTCATTCATTACTAAGGTGTGTGCTCTCCTTAAAAGACTGGAGGCAACAGCACTAATTGGATATGATGAGTTGAAGTCTAAATACTTCATTCGAATGAGTTACTTTCCTGAAAATGGTTATACTTAAATGTCCATTTTCTTCCAGCTCAACAAAACAGTTGAGGAGAAGCAGTTTCCTCTTATCCGTTTCTTTTTCTGAGCTGAACTTGATAGTAGGAGATCTAGAGTTCAGCTGATCTAGCAATGCTTGGTATAAGTCGCGTTTTAAAATTAAGAATGTGTCATTAACACATCTTAACCAAATTTTCGGCTTTAGTAGGTGAGTGAAGACACCTTTTCTCAAATTTACTCATAAATAGATTACCTACTGTAGGTGAAACAGGTGAAATCATAGCAACATCATTGGTTTGCCTGTATAGTTTTCCTTTAAATGTAAATAGTCTCTAAGCTGAATTTTAGGGCTCCAATGATATCACCAGTATTCAGTGAACATTTTTCTGTCAGTGTTGTATCTGAGTCTAATAAATTAACAATAATATATGGATGATCGTTAATTGGAATACTAACAGTAGGGGAAAATGAAGGTTTGAGATGGAAGAGTTAGCGGCGATAGGTTATAGTAGAAAGTTATTTAAATCTATCAGGACAGATAGAAAACGGTCAATGGTTGGTGCGAATATAGCGGAAAAAATAGGTCTATGATCCACTCACATGGTAGACGGCTGTAATGATTGGTGGAACAAGTCATCTAGCTTCCAGCTACTATTTCGTTGCCTGCTATCTAGTCGGAAGCTGAATAGAACATTGAGATAGGGCCTCCTAAACTTCCAAAAGTTGAGAAACTAGTGGATAACCTGAAACGAGGAAGAGTATCTTGGCCAGACAGACTAGTTCCAGAGGTATTCACGGGTGGTGGTAGAGGATTATTGGTTATGTTGACTTAACTATTGGCTAGTGTTTGGGAGTCGAATATGGTCCCCTGTGACTTGTCTCAACCAATGATTCTCCCAGTCTTCATCAAAGCAGAGAGGTCCTCTTGTAATAACCTCTAAGGAATCAGCCTGAAGAGCATAGTGTCTTAGATTCCAGGTTCTTTGATTGTCTGAAATCTGAGAACATCAAATCAGACAGACTTTCAACCTAATCGTGAGTGTATCGCTGTGATATTTCTGGAACAGGCACATATACCACCCCTGGCACAACTGTATTACTTGATCTGAAAGTGGCGTTCTGCCTCATCGACCGAGAAGTGTTATGGCAGCCTCTCATTGAAAGGGGTACCGAGTAAGGATATCATCGCATTGAAAGATCTACAATTAATAGGTGGGTCCGTAATAGAGCCTTTGAGGAAGTGTCAAGTTAGTTGTTTTCGTCGAGTGTTGTTCGTTAAGGAAGTCTACTCTCTCCATCTTCACTCAGTCTTACTGTTGACGCATATATATAGGTCTCTCTATCTTATCGTCTGACTTCACAAGAATGTATCTTGTCACAAGAGAATACTTACATAGCCGTTCCCTGTCAAGGCATTGACACTGGATGCTTTGAGTAGCAATTTGAAAATGTTTTGAATACTTTTCTCTCGACCCAGATATAAATTATTACTGAAGAAACTGGTCTGTGTTAGTGTCTTGTCTGACAATAGAGAGCGAAGTGGGTTGAGTGCATCGACCTTGGTAGGTCAGTGATTGACAAAATCTCGGAACTGATACAAAAGCTTGCTCAGCTTTCACCAACTTAGGCCATCCATGGTGCCAATATGATATCGGACTACCTATTAGGGGCTGCGTATCAGTTCACTCTGTTCTGCTATATGACTGTCAAAAATCACCATTAAAAGTAAAGGACATACGAAGGCTTCAGGTATTGAGGCACCGTTGTCTTCGTAGCACAGTGCATGCCCTCCAGTGCCACCATGTCAGTAATGCAGACGTTAGGTGTAGGAGTTTTTGCAGAAGTGGGAAGTCTGTTGATGGAGCTGGGAACGTTTTTCCAGTCAAATGATATAGACATGTTTTCAAGTACCGAGTCACCATCCATGCCAACGCACAATATTAGCTAAAGCAAGTTTTGCATGGAAATAAATTAGAGGTGGTCAGACTGAAAATTGGTGTCAATGCATAAAGTATTTGATTATTGCTCCTAGCCGATTACGAAATTGTTGGTTTCTCAGTTGAGTTCCATATGACAACAGAAACCAGTGGTTGGAGACTGTTGATGACATAGCTGAGGATCAATCTTACTGGTGCAGATATATACCAGTATACCCTAGTCTTCAAGCTGAATACAGTGCATTCTTATTCCATCTTGTTATCTTCTCATGAATTTCTACCACCGACTGCCTTCTTTTTTACTTCTTCATGTTTCATCTTTGTACTTTCTCGCTTGATGTGGTGATATGAGGTGTAGCAACTTGAACCATTTTGCAGCAATACCAAGTTCTAAGTTGATCGTGACTGTGTCTGTCTCTATTAATTCTACTCAGTTGGTTTAACCGTGATAAGTGACATACACTTCAAACCTGTGACTCAGTAACTGGAAATCGACTGCCTATGCTAGTGATTCACTTCCTGGGATTGATTGCTTGGCAGTTCCCTCATAATCTCACCTAACTTTTGAGATATGCTTAGACTAATATCAACGAGTGTCTTCAGAACACTTAGTATGTACCTTAATATTCGGATGGGAAAGTAATTTGAACATGCTTTAGTTAATGAGCTTCTTTCATGGTATAGACACTGAGAAAAAAGTAGCGCTATCAAGGACTTTGAGTTCTGTAATCTTCAGACGCCTGACTAAAGCATGGGCACACAAACCAGACAAGTTTCAAACTTAACCTTCCGTGTGCTAACAACATTTTCACTCTCCACCACAAATACACTTTCCGGAACTGGATACTACATGTGTCTTGATCTAAAGGTACCATGCAACTCTGCCGATCGAAAGGTCAAATGATAATGTTTCTCACTGAAATGGGTTTCTGGTTAATACATCACTCTACTAAATGGTTTTGTACTCAACTGCTAGTTGTTGTGTTCGAGCTTACACAGGTATCAGGTGAGTCGTGTATGCCTCTTAGGTGAAGATCCTGATACTATGCAAAGTATCCAACAAACTTGAGTGACAGTGTAGATTATCACTTTACGTTCGGCTTCTTTAATACATTATTTGACAATAAAGAGCGTTGACTACTTCATTCATTTGCGAAGTCTGGTCAACCATAATAAGCATGTGAAAGTCAAGATTTTGGCTCGGATACAAAAGGTCCAATCGGTTTTTGCCAGCCTACTTCATCTAAGTCGTCAGTAAGATAGATATCTGATATTCTACTAATGGTTTTGCAAACTGTTCTAATTTTTATGGATGAAACATGATCATCAAATGTGGCAGGTATGAGCAGGCTTAAAATGTTTGACTGCCATTGCCTCAGAAGTATTGATTTTAGGCGGACTAAAACGTAGCATGAGTCCATTAGGTTTGTGACTGTTGATCTGAGCTGTGTCGAGAGATGTAGGTATCCAGGTATGTGTCAGTATGACAGTCCGTACAGATGGTTGCAGACTCTGTAGTTTGGCTTAGAATCAAACTCAGTGACAAATGTGCATTCACGGTCTATCACCATATTAATGGTTATATCATATTTCGTTGTTTGCCTTATATTCTCTTCTGTTTAAATTATGGCTTGTTTTTATGTTATTTTCCTCTCCTCTTTTTTTTTATTATCTTGTTTTGTGTTTTGATTTGCTTATCTGAATTGGATCAGCTTGAACCATCATGCAGCACCACCATGTCCTTTTTTGTTGTTGACTGACGAATTCAGTATGGATTTGAAAGTCTATGCAACAGAACTCGCGTTTCATTGTGTTTGTGTGATTACACTGAAACTGGGTGACATTTCCAAACATGTGCGTAGCTAAACTATTTGCCCAAGGTTTAACTATCTTAGTATCGACTCATAAGCTCATAATACAATCATATGCATTGTGTTCCAAAAAATATGCTTTCTTGTATTATCTTATCAGAAAGTACTCATTACTTTTCTAAGAAATAATAATGACTTTATTGTGAAATATATTTTGAGAATATTATACAGAATTTTCAGCATGTCATATAGCATTAACTGGACAGAAACAGTGTATGTGTATGTATACATAATAAAATGAAATAAGTAGTAGTTACATATAAAAGATAGGAATTTACTCCATCTACACTTTTTTTGAAAATGCGGAGTTACCTTGAGAAAAAAGTCACATTCGACATTAGATTCATAGTACATAAGTTGTAACAAGCTGTGTAACCTTTAATTAGTTTGCTTACGAAAACAAAACTTGATTACAAGTTGGTATTCATCATGGACTGGCATCGATCGGAGAGACATTAGAAGCCTGGGAGCACGGGACAACTGTTTCGTCCTAATATGGGACTCCTCAGAAGTGGGCACCAATGACCCTGTGGCCAGCATGTTACCATTGAGGCACTGGGTTGGAATCCAAGGGTCCATATTTCCAACTTCTGTCAGTTCACGGTATAACGCGAGCACCACCCAATATCATCGTTAAGTATTCGTCTTCATGTCCACCATGTTTGCCTCACCGGTTACGACTTCTTATAGGAAATTCAGGAATCATCTCTGAAAGCCACTCACGAATAAGCGCTAGGATAATTCACTTTGGGGGTTTGTGGGAATTTATTGGTTCCAAGTTGATATTCATCATGGAATGACATCAATTGGAGAGACATTAGAAACCTGGGAGTACTGGACAGCTGTTTCGTCTTAGTATTGGACTCCCCAGCCCAATGATAACGTGCTGGCCGCGGGACCTGAAGGTCCTGGGTTTGATCCCCGGGGTGCGAGGTTATGGGTGCCGACTGCTGAGAAGTCCCATCCTGGGACGAAACAGCTGTCCAGTGCTCCCAGGTTTCTAATGTTTCTCCAACTGATGTCAGTTCATGACGCTTATCAACTTGAAACCAATAAATCCCCACAAAGCTCTAAATTGAAGAACTTGATTAGTTAATTCATTTCCAATACTTCTTTGCACAGGATACGAGCTAAATATGGTATTGTAGAGTTTTTATATTTTGAAATCTTATAAACTTTCTCCTGGTCTTGCCTGATGGCCCACATATGGAGAACTTTAAATGAAAAAGACGCTGGTCATTTGATAAAATAACTTCTGCCAGATGTTTGGATGCGTTAGGATGTTTATCCACAACAGTCTCAATGTGTACGTTTAGAGCTATGCCACCAGTTCTGCTGACAATCTTCAAAGTCCAATGCAATGTAGTATAGTCTTTTTTCAATAACCCAGGAAAGAATAAAGGGAAATAATAGAGAAGAACACGCAAGATGCAAGAGTTTATAAGACATAAAAAAGGAGACCGACTTATACCAGATACTCTCAGCTTTTTAATGTAATAAGTTAGGCGGAAGATTCTTTTTGAAATAAGTTAGATATGAGAGGATTAGGAAAGGTTCAAAGAAAGCAGTTTACATAGGTTATTTTCACATCTGAAGTTAACTTTATAGTCTGACGTTTTGAAGAATTAATTACAAGACCATTTGCAGGGAACCATCGTCTAATAGTAGATAGGAAATCGTCCAGTTGGGAACAATCTCTTGAAGAGGAGACAAATTTGAAAACTGTTAGGTCATCACTGTATTTGATGAAATTGATACTAGCTGAAGATGGTTAGTCATACAGAAGGAAAGAGAAAAGAGTGAGGGAGTGATGAAAATGAACATTATATTAACATAACTGCCAAAAAAGAGAATTGTTGATCAACATACTTTGTAAATCTATGAATTGTAGTACCTGTGATTTAATGTGAGCGGAATAATGTGTTCTTTCGAGGCTCAAGCGCAAGTCTCTACTTTTATTTTCTAAGCTAAAGGTTCTATCATCAAATGTCTAGAAATATTATTCATTTTTATTCGATATATTTGTCTACATATGTAATTAAAAATCGTATCCTTTGTTCCTATTCAAATGTAGACTTATGGCTGATGTAACCAGAAGCTGTGAAGAAGCCCCACTCTCTCGTAGTAGAACTACAGAGTGAACAATCTGGGGGTTAGGCTTAGAGTACTAGTCAAAAAAAGCAACTGAACTGATGGTGTTGGAATTTTTTTTACCAATATAAGCGCTCGTGTCGTGTGTTATGCATGCCAAACCCTCACTTTCCTCAATGATTGATGTTAACCAATATGGAATTAGGTTGTTAGAAAGCTACGGATAACAAAATTAAAATGTGTCACCAAGTAAACGAGTCCCTGACCTTTATTTTAAGTCATTTAGGCTTCCTGGTTGATATCCTGTGTATGTTAAGAATCGATGATTTGAGATTGAGTGACATGGCTCAGAATCTATTAGAATGGTGCAGTGTTCTGTGTTGCTCCATCTGGTTGACCATACAATAACCTACTGACAACCTCGTTTGATGAATATGAGTAGGCTTTTACTTGTTCTTTCTCTCTAATAACAAAATTCAGTACGTTGAATCACACTCATTTTCCGTAAATGAAGCCTATGGTAATAGTAGACAAATAATTCACTATGAATTAATGAGAAAATGATGGCTAGCACTGGAATCCAGGACGTGCGTCCTGTTCTATTTGGGACTCGTCTGATGGATGTGCTAACCTCCCACCATATGACATCCCACTGGGACTCGAACTTGGGACCGGTCGCTTCCAACGCCAGAGCGTTATCCGCTAGACCAATGAGCCACGGTAGCCGCTTTTTTTGCGACGGGTATAGTTTTAGTGTTGTTGCTTGTATTATCCTATCGTTAATTGGAACCAATTAATCGGTCTCTATTGGCAGATGGGTGGATGCCTCGATATTGCCTGTGTTTAATTATATGTTAATAATGGATACATGCAGCTGATGAGTCCCAAATAGGACGAAACGCGCGTCCTGGATTCTACTGCTAGCCACTATCCATCATTAATATATAATTAAGCACAAGCAGTAGCGAAGCATCCGTGTAGGAGCTCATATACCAATGGAGACCGATCAATTCGGTCCAATCAAGGACGGGCTAATATAAGCAAGAACACAAATTTACTATATATCCTAGTTTATATGCTTATTTAAGAGTGGTATAGTCATTCAACAAGTAACAACCTTTTCCTTTGTCTTATTTATCTGTTTAAACAGGTTACATGTTCAGTTTGATTCAGATTCGCCCATTTCACATTCCAATATTCATGGTGATGTGCATTCAATAGACGATGGAATCAATATGAGTACTACCGCCACTGCTACTGTTAATGCGAATGTGAATAATAATAATTCTGGCAATGTCAATCGTAGTAATTCATTAAATAGTAGGATAGAGAATCGTTCATCTTCTGCTAATCGAGGTTTACAACAGTCTGTATTACGTAATTACAATGAAAGAATTGATTGTAATCATAGAGATCAGAATAATTCCTCCATAAAAAAACCTGAAATAAATCACTGTAAACATACTAATGCTACTAATGTTAAGAACAATAATCCTAGTATACATAAACATATCACTCGGCCTATTATCGATGTACATAAATATGCTAATAATCCTGGTCCATATGGAGAAAGAGAAGATATCTTAGTATTTATACAAAAGTTAACACCACAAGCCAATCAATTATTTGTACGTTTAGCTTCTACTGGGAAAAGGTAAGCAATTCAATTTCTTCCAAGATTTTTGTCTTTTCAATATAATATTGTTTGCAAAGAACTAGTAATCTCATTTCAGTCTTTTCTTCTGTCAGTAATTGTGAAATACTTTTTAAATTCACATGTTTTGAACCTCCACATTTTATTGTTATAAGGTGAGTCATTACCTTTTACATCTTTTCAGAAGCCTGAGATACCCTGGAAATCTTCAAAAATAATTATTACATGCTAAATGTTTGCGAAGAGCCAGATGAGCCAGGTTTAATTTAATTAGTGTAGTACTAAAGAGATTAGAAACATCCTAGAAAAATGTAGAAAAATATCAAGGCAACTGAAAACATAAAAGAGGTATACCGTTCCTTCTCGAAGACGTTTTGGATCCAACAATAAACCTCTCATCGTTTTACTGCTTCGTTCTATTTTCTAATGACCGAGTGACTCTTAAGGTCTACTCAGTTTATAACACTACAGACTTGGGAAGATGATACAATTCAATGAATAAACATATTTTTCAGATTGCAAAGGAATTCTAATCATGGAATTAAATCACATGGTAAAGCATAGGAAAACTGAAGAGACTAGATAGTCGTTTCATTCTTTTCTACACTCCTCTTCAGTGTTCACCTACAATTCTATGACTCATCGAGCCAATGACCACCTATCGTTGCGTCAAGCAAAACATCACCCAGGGAACCACAGCGTCCTATTTCTATCAGTTATTGATAAACTACTATCATCATTCCATACTATCGAAGATTTCTTTTCCTCAAACCTAAATTTGTTAGGTATATCGGTTATTAGCGATCACTAAAACTTTTGTTCTTACCCGTGTCTTGGATTTACAGACACAAAATCAACGTAGAACCTCGCACAAAGGTGCATCAGCTCAAGTTACCATACGTCACAGTAGTACATAATGAACAGGTGGATGGAAAAGCAGTGATGTCATAGTAGAAAACGTTTTTTGAGAGAACGAGCAGTTTGAAGATAAAGATTAGTACAAATATTCGAGCTTTAGAAGATATCAAGGAGTGAATACATCTGCTCCATTGTGACCGATTTTCAGTCAAGTCACTACTAGTCCTCAGCCACTGACTCCTATCGTCACGTAGACCTCAACCAGGCACCCTGCATCTCTCAACACTCCTCAGACCTACAGCTAAAAAAAAATACTTGAACTGGTATCACCATCCCGAACACTCTTCTAACCTAATCCACCTTCCCCTAACATAGCGCGGCGAGTCGGCGTGCGCAGTACATGTCCAAGCCATCTCAGTCGGCCAAGGTTCACAACTTCACCAATTGCTTATCTTGCCTAAACTAGGACGAAATAGCTATCAAGTGTTATCGGGTTTTTCTTTGCCTCTACAACTCATGTATATTCGTAACCGAAATTGGTTTTAATTCAATCAATCCCTAAAAACCATCAGTTGCGTTTTCCGAATGTCTTAAAAAAATAATAAGAAGCATAACTCTTCTTGGCAATTGTGTGAAGTTCCACCTATTTACTGGTTAAACCCAACCTATTCTACCAGATGTTAAAACTTTGATTGATGAAGCAGGTTTTGAATTAGTGACTTTCTAGTTGAATGTCCAGTACCTAACTAATGAAACATGACTCTTCTGGCTTCAAGTTTTATCAGTAGAACTTTAAAAAGTATAAATATTTTAGCATAGCCCTGTCTAGCATTCCGATGTAGGTTTTGCCTTTGGGATCAAATTTTTGTTCTTCATTCATAATCAATGGGTTTGATATAAAAGTGCAATTCAGAAAGCTTATCAATCAAACTCAAGATTTATTGCTAACCTCCTTGGAAAGCTTTGAACGATTCATAAGCTGAGTATTACAATGTTACTACTAAAAATACTTGAATACGTAGTGTAGAAAACAATGAATGATGCGGAAAGAATAAAAAATTCAACTGAAAGAATTGTTGAATAACAAGGATCATTTATCGTTGTTTTAGGTCAGAAGGTTTATGTTGATAAAATATGCATAATTCTGAGCGATGAAAATAAATTTCTTAAATCCAGAGGCCGGTAAGACAGGATAGAAGCTATTAAATATAAAAAATCTGAAGGAAATTGAAAGGAGAATCTATAATTACCTTAGATATATATAAACATCATAGGTCGTAAACAATCCATTTCAACCATATCCCGTTTGTATTGTATACCTGATTTGCATAAAAATGGCGTTTGTCCTCAGCCAATATTGCATATGCCTAATTCATCTAATCACACCTTGGCAACATGGCTCGTTAAAATTCTTAAGCCTATTATGTTAGACCTGTGTAAATACAGCCTTCTTGCTAAATTTGTTTTTGTTCATTGTATCAAAGAAACCACTGTAATAGGTGAGCGTATGATATCGACTAGTATTTCTTCTTTACTTACAAATATTCTCACTAATAATATTGGATTACCGATGAGCTACTTACTAGAACTTGATATTGAGAGGTACTTTAATGTAAAGTTCAGACTTAGTGAAGTGATATGTAGTCAAAACGTACGGAGTCGTAATTAGGTCCTTACTAGACCCTCCTGTCTAGGCTAATATCTTCATGGCAAGCCTCGAAAATGAGCCATTTAAAGAAATAATCGTAGAACTTTATCTGTATAGAAGGTAAATAGATGATACTTTCTTTATTTTCTAGGAAACATATTCGGTTGATGAACTACTTAGATGGTCTAGGGATTGTCACCAGTCTATTAATTTCAGTGTCGAAGAAGAGTCAAATTCGACATTTTACTTCCTGTATACGATGTTGAACAGAAGGGATAATGTTTCACTCCAACCTAAACTAGACACTTTACTAACCTTATTCGTTAGATACTTTCCAGTAGTAAAAGAAATTTCTTTGATTCGCCGTGCTTCAGAACTCATAAAATTTTCTCAGAAAATACGATAGATGGTGAAACTGAAACTCTAAGGATAATACTACTGAATAATTTATGCTCCCGGAAAATTTATTGTCAAAGACAAATTTCACTACAACCTATTACAGCTCCAAAGAAAATTTTACTCATGAATTCGATGTTCAAAGGGGGATCTTGCAGTTAAATTGTTGAAGAACCATCTGTCGAAATGCATCAAGAATACGTTCTATTCTGCTAGCCTGCTGTTTGTGTTCTCGAATTGTTGTTTGGTTTGATAGTGTGTGATGAGTAGGTTACCGCTTATGTTCACATATATATGAATTCAAATGATCCTGTGAAGCTGGATAGTGTCAGCAGATCTTCCTGAAATGCTTCGCAGAAAACTATCGGTGAGCGAAGATTGACAACTTCATGTATATATGAACACCTAGTGGAATCAGTTAATTCATCTCCTCGAGATTCATCTTTTAAGGTAATTTACACAGCTTATTTGGACTATTCCAGAAGTCTATGTTTCCATCGCTTTTCCATAGCTAAAGCGTTAGTTATACATAATTGAACGCTGAAACTATAATTTCAAAAGTGTTTTGTAAAACCCTTTTCTATACTTTGACTTTAACAATGAATTTTTAATTTGTTTATTAGTTTTACTCCACTTCGTATTACTTGTTTCATTTTGATTATCATTTTGCACTTATTTGACGGCCATTGACCTTTGTTTCATTCCTCGAAATCAACTATTCTTTTTTTCGATGGCTCTAATTTTATCTCATACACGTAAACCAATCCCTCAGCCATCACCAATTGTACTATGTGCTTATTGACTGGACAACTTTCTGGCTTATCTGTCTGACTTTTTATCAAATATGGATACGCCTGTACAACTTGATAATTAAGTTGTTGAGGTGAAATATTTATTTGTTGATCAGAAAATCTCGTCCTTATTCATGGCTATATCTCTCTAAACAATCTCTTTTGTTTTTGGGACTATCTAAGAAACTGCGGTCTTACAGACTGGTATTTTTGAAACAGGGTAATGATTGAAAGGAAAATGCGTTGAACTACAAAACCCCATTGCTGATTAAGTTCTAACTGTATTTTTTTATTCTAGGAAGACTGATTTTCTTCTAAGCGTACTTACTCCTAGTAGAGATTCTTGAAGGTTACGAATTTATTTCAGGGTGCTGTTCATCACTGACATCAATTGAAGAACCACTGAAAACTTGGGGCACTAGACAGCTGTTTCGTTCAAGAGTAGTACTCTTCACTAATGCACATCTCACCAGGGATCGAACCCAGGACCATCAGGACTCGAGATGAGCACACCATAATTGAGTCACTGGGTTGGGATCTAATGTCCTACATTATCCTATATTTGTCAATTCGCGATATGATGTGACCACCATCCAGTGCGATTGGGAGGGTGGTTGTCATCACGTCCAACTTGGTTGACCATACAGGTCATATCTTTTTATTAGAACTTCAGGAAATTGATCTTAAAGAATGTCACTAATGTGTACTGGACAGTGTGTGCTGTGAGACCTGAAGATCCTGGGTTCGTTTGCTGGCTAGGTCATCGGTGCGCACTACTGAGAAGTTACATATTAGGACAAAACAGCTGTGGAATGCACCTCGGTTTTTCAATGCTTTTCCGACTGATTTCTCTCTATGAGAAATATCACCTTGTAATCAATCCGTCAATTCCCATGAATCTCTAATCTAAATTACTAATTAGTTCAGTAGTAATATATGCGAGTACGTTATTAATCAACTTGGTATTGAGAAGTAAACGATGAAAATCTTAAGGATTCATTGCTTCACTTTCAGATGAAATTTCATATCTCAATAAGTTCTGCACATAGTTTAATGCGTGATATACGCTGAGATGCTAACTATCGCTCATGTCACATCCTTTACTATGCGAAAACGTCTCTAATCATTGATGTTTGTACAAATAGTGTGTTATGAAGAGGATTTCCACCTCTTAGAGTGTAATTCTGTTGTAAGGGTGCTTTGCTGTATGATAAAAAGCCTTCTGTCTTGTAGTTTGGGCTTATTTGTTATCGTGTAGCTAGTAATTCGTTTACATTAAACGGCCTTTCGAACCTGTAACTCATAGGTTAGAAATCAAGTGTCTGGATGAATCACTCACAGCTCTTTTGTAGTTTTTTTTTTTTAAAATGATCTAAAAATCCATTTTGATCTGATGTTATCGCTTTTTTAATAATCGACGATTCTCAGAGTAATAATGTAGAAAACGAGAAGACTGAGACGCAGGAAGGAATGTTTATTATTGACATCTTGTACAGTAGTCACCAATATTGTACACCTTCGATTAAGACAGTCATTTGTACGATGCGTTTCATTTCCTATTCTGCTCCCATCATGATTTGCTTTTAATACGTCCACATTGTGTCTTTCGTTTCTCTGGGCAGAATCCTTACTCGTTGCTGGTAATTCTCTATAATTTCTGCTACTCTCGCAACATATACTACTTATATCCATTATGATCAGCAACACCCACTACAATAACAGCAGAGGAATTGATCTAATCATGATAGTTTGAAAAGCATTAGTTTAAGAGGTTATTCAACGTATAATTAGTTAGTAGATGTCATCAATGCTAGACATTCAAACGTATTTCAAGTTAATAAGCAGCATCATAATGAAACCTACAATTCCCAGAAAACTTTGTGAAACTTAGATAGGATTGCTTTATTCAAGTTATATTTGTTTACTAACCGTCAGTTATCTTAACTTGGTTATTCAGTGACACCAGTTGAGTGTGAGGTACTCTTTTGTATGTTTTGATGGTTTTGTAAATATAATATACTGAGCTAATATACTCAGAAATTTGTATCAGCTATCCACTACCTAATTTTATGCTTATTATTTTCATATTTTCGATTCTTTGCCAATTCTCTTCGTTAATGGTCACTAAGATATAACCCTTTATTGTCTACTGGACTAAATATACTGATATTTACAGTTTATTTATTACATAGATTGGTATTTTGTCTTTGCGTGCTGTTACTTTTATCTTTCTTTTTTTTGTAAATGATATTTAAGACTTTGTGTAATTCACTCAGTGGATAAAAGTTCAATTAGTTCATTCACGGTACATGAACACGATGGATTCAATCGAGTTGGTGCACATCCAAGACGTTATATATTCACAGGTCATTCAAATGGTACAATTCAAGTAAGTTAATCCTCATTATATATATATATATATATATATATATATATATATATATATATATATATTCTCTGCAGTCTTTTGAAGCTGGCGCCACGACAGCCCACTAGTTTTCATTTCTTCCTCACATGATCTCCTCCGACGTTCAACTCGTCGTTTCCCCTTTGAATTCCACTCGAAGGCCTGGTGCGTGATGTTCTGAGTCGGCCTTCTCGATGTATGCCCAATCCATCTCCACTTTTATCTTCATATTTGTCAGGCGATAGCTTCTTGGTTGGTTCGTTGCCAGCCACAGTTCCTCCTTATTCCTGCTTATTCTTTCTGGCCATCTGATCTTCAGTATCGAGCCAGCGCAGGCAGCTGTTGATAAATTTCTGTAGTTTGTTGGAAGTGCTTTTCGTGACGCGCCAAGTTTCTGAACCATATAGTAGTACTGACATTTAAAAGGGTTTAATTTGAGATCATTTGAGACAGACCATTGGTTATTGGGACACAGGAATCTATTTAATTCAGGACAATCTAAGTGAGAGTTGACTGGAATCCGGATCTTGTTCTTTGTACTGTGTGCAGTAGATCTCCACACTGATTTCAGACTAGTGAAAGCCTGTCTTGCTTTTCCGATCCTGGTTTTGACATCTTTGTCTGTGCCGCCTGTAGTTGAAACGATGCTGTCTAGGTATATATATATATATATATATATATATATATATATATATATATATATATATATATATATATATATATATATATATATATATATATATTGTCTTTCAGAATCGTCATTTACAACATATCGAACAGCTGACGAGTCCTAAGTAGGAAGAAACGCGCGTTTTAGATTCCACTGGTAACCATTATCCATCATTAACAAATACATTCAACACTTTATGATTATTTTTACCTCATCTAAGTTATTCGTCATTGTACATTTTGAAAACTAGACAATTTGGACCTATTTAGTACTGCATAAAGACCCACTCTGTTATCAAATGTTTAAACGTGATCAATTGTTGGTTGAATTACCAGAAAAAAAAACTTGTATTTAGCTAAAAGAAGAAAATATATCGAATAGAATAGATTTAAATAAAGCACCAAGAAAACAAATGTTATGGGATGATGTCACTTCATAATCTTGCTGCAATCGTATAAAAACTAACAAAGTTTACGATAATAAATCGTTCATACTGGGTGGTGATTGGAAGGTTAAATGAAAATTCGACCCGCATCAGGATTCAAATCAGCGACCACTGGGTTTCTGGTTCAGTGCTTTTCTAAATGAACTATGAGACCTGACTGCTAATCAGATTTTTATTTCACTGCAATCACCAAAGATTTTGCCTGACTGCTATATGAACTCGTGGTTGCTGGTCTGAATCCTGCTGCAGCCTAAATTTTCATTTCTTCCTCAATCATCATCCAGTATCAATACTAGTCTCCCAAACCACGGCTATCTCACTCAGATAGTCAACATAATAATAAATTATTCTGAGGTAGTATTTGTCATGGACTGACATTAGTTGGAGAACCATTGAAAACCTGGGAGCACTGGATATCTGTTTCGTCCTAGTGCAGGACTCCTCAGGAGTATGCACCCACGACCCAGCTAGGGATCAAACTCAGGACCTTCAGGATTTATGACGAACGTGCTAACTGTTCAGCCACTGGGTGGAAGTTCATTGTTTCACAGTTTACAACTTCTGTCAGTTCACGATATACCATGACTATCACTCACTTCAGTTAGCATCCGCTTCTCTTCCGATTGATTGACCCCACAGGTCATGGTTTCTGATTAAAACTTCTCGATATCCATCTGGAAGCCAACTGATAGAAGTCGGAAACCGTGGACTGTTGCACTCCGGCCCAATGGCTGAATGATTAAGGCATTCGTCATGAAACCTGAAGGTCGTGAGTTCGACCCCTATCTGGGTCATGGGTGCATACTGTTGAGGAGACCCATACCAAGATGAAGCAACCGTCCAGTGCTCCCAGGTTTTTAATGGTTCCCCAACTGATGTCAATCCGTATTAAAAACTGAAATCCCCATTAATCTAAATAAATTATTCCTCCATATTTGCAGTTATATGAAGTGAAGGAAAACATTAATGTCCAATCATTTTAGTGCAGGGTAGACAAAAAGATTTACATCCTTTTTTGCTGAATAACAAATTTTATATGTGTATGACTGATCCAAAAATCTTGGACTGAAGTTATGTGAAACAACTAAAAAACAGTCATTCCTGCTGATTTTGTTACCAGTCCTCAAGACATGTCTGTCTATAGGTGGTTAGATTTTTATGCACACTAAGTATATTCAGTTGAATCGTTTAATTTGATAGCCACTGAGGAACATGTTCATTCTGGTGGTATTGCATCATTCTGTTACTTCAGGTGAACTTGTGAAGTAGAGTTAACTGAATTCCGCTCTTTAGTTGTTGACACTTGGAAAGTAAATGTCTTTGAAGTTAAATAAAGAAGAGCAGTGCAGAAAGTACGTTTGTTAGCCGACTGAGGGTGTTTAGCCGTCATTTCCGTAACCTTGTCACCTTTGAATTGTAGGTTGATGAATATCTGTTTCTTTGTTACTATAAGTGTCTTCTCAACAACATAGAGTAAGTAATAAGTCAAGTTTTCTGGGCATTTTAATCATCAGCCGAAATAATCGACCTATCAAAAAGATCCATAATCCGTAAAGAAAAAAGACATAAAATGGACAATATCTTCATTTCAGTAGCCTTGTTCCTATTCAGTATAAAAGTTCTTTGACTAAGTATCTTTTCTCAAGAGGTCGTAGAATATGTACCAGTAGGACCATTGAATGATGAAACACAAGATACACATTTTGTTTTAAAAGCCAATGATTATCCGAAAAAATTTATTGTATATCATAGTAAAAACCAACTACTACTAATAAATAATGTAGCTAAATGTGTATGGCAGGGGTTGAATAGGATAAATCCAGGTCGGTACAATGTCCGAAATTACGAAGATGATAACGACAATATATGCATAATAGTAACGATACACCACTTCTTTAAGCTTTCAGAGTCGGTATGTTTTATTTGTCCTTGTGGTGATTAACAAAAAAACTGAGGACAACAGGCTTTGTAGAAATCTTTGAATAATCTTTCTATTCATCACAGATTGAACTATTCAGAATACTGCATTGTTTGCATTGTTTTCAATAATAATGTATTCATTCCCAATCCCCATATCTGTCACACAAGTGAAGATGATGATTTTTCTTTAACCCATTCAGTCGGTGGTTTAATCATCTTGGTATACTTTTTAAAATGACTGCAGAACCATCAAAGAATATCAGGTATCAACTAGGTGTCATATTGATATTGTCCCTTGGGTTCCTAGTGGAACGTAGAGCTTCAGTTGCACGTCACCATTTCACTCTCTTCTCTCTTTTTTTTCAACCTGACTCCACCACTGTCCAGAAGCTTTCATTTCTATCTTACACGATCTCCTCCATGTCACCATCGCCCCAATTCGTTTCCTCTTTAGATTTCACTCGAGGGCCTGGCGAGTGATGTGCCCAATCAGTCTTCTCAGTGTATGCCCAATTCAATCCATCTCCACTTTCTTCTGCGTATTTGTTCGGTGATGGGTTCTTGGTTGGTTTGTTGCCAGCCAGACAGCCAGAGTTCCTTGTTGCTCATTCTTATTATTCTGGCTATCTGATCTCCATCTTCAGTATCGAGTGGGCGTAGGGGGTAGCTGTTGATGATGTTTACGTGCAGTTTGTTGAAAATACTTTTCGTAACACACCAAGACTCTCAACCATCACATAGAAGCACTGACTTGACTGACATTAGTGTTGAAAATCCGGATATTGTTCACACTTTATGTTGAGTTGAGTTGAGTGGAGTGCAGTAGATGTCCACACTGATTTCAGATTAATGAAGGCTTGTCTTGCTGTCTTCCCTATCCTGCTTTTGACATCGTGATCTGTGCCTGTGTTACCTGTAGTTGAAACGATGCTGCTTAGGTGGTAGGTGGAATAAACAACTTCCTTTACGTTTCTTCCATTGATGGTGATTGGTGCTTGTTGTTAATGTTATCTGTTGGGTATCTTCATCACCTCTGTCTTCTCTACATTCACTTGAAGTCCCGTCCTTGCTACCTCTTCTGTCAACTTGTTAGTTTTTGCCTGTAGATCTTCGAGTTTGTGCGACATAAGACATTAGACATAAATCATCTTTGGCGAAATCCAAATCTTCTAGGGTCTTTCCATCGGTCCAGCCGGCGTATGCCCATCTTCTCGCTCCTCGAGGTTTCTTGCATGATCCAGTCTAGTCCACTACAATCAGGAAGATGATCGATGATGGTAGACGGCAGTCTTGTCTTACTCCTGTTTTCACTTCAAAGACGTCACGGAGCTGAGCTTTTTATTGTGAATCATTTGGCATGTAGTACTATATAGTATATAGATCTTGAATGAGGTTGATAAAGGTTTATGGTACTCCGTAGTGTTGAAGCAGTTGCCAGTTTACTTTTCGGTCGACGGTATCGAAGGGCTTTTCGAAGTCAATGAAGTTGAGGTAGATAGTTGACTGCCGGCTAGTAAACTGGGGAACTGGTAAACTAGGCAAGATTTCACACCGATATAAAAAGTGATTTTTAATAATCTATGTATCGTCTTGTGAGAAGAATGTTTTATGCTCATAGTTATTCTATGGAAAGTATTCTGTCACCCAAATTCTTTTCAAAGTGACAATTAGTCTGTTTTGATTTATTTTTACTAGTTTATTGAAACCAGCGTTCACTGAAGAAAGAATAAGATAGTTGTCTCATATTAGTTTATGGCAACCTACTGTCTGAAACAGCTTCACTATTCAAAACCACAAATGTCAAATTGTAAAATGCCTACATATCTATTTCATTTAATTTTCTTATAGTATGTCTGATGTTCCATTTATTAGCAATAGAACTGTAACCAATCATTTTTACATCATCATTCGTGTTTTAGATATCATTAATATTATTATTTACTATGCTTGTAGAAAGATGTTTACTTTTTTGAAGATAAGTAAAATATAAGAGTAAAACTTGGGCACTGTGGTCGATTGTAATTACATTTTAGTCTGTTTATTAGAAATATCACACAGTGAAACGGTAGCATTTACTGGATAACGTTCCAGATACAACTTATTCTCCATATTCATATCAGGTAACTCCACAACTTCGAGACAGTCTTTATGTATTCTCTCCTTCTCTATGATGACAAGGGTAGTAGGATTTTCCATATATCTGGGACAGGTGCAGAATCATTTCGATTGTATGTGTTTGGTGTGGATTCGATAAACAAAGATTCGGGCGACAGTGCTGAAAACTGGGACTAGAATAACAGAGCACAAAAACGTAGCTAAATTGAGATTGGTAGATCCTAATAAGATAAGAAATCTAGAGAAAAACTCGGCTATAGCTCTGCATGCGATGACAAGGAATCACACAGTAGGGTGGGATAGGGCGAAAGTGTTGAAAACTAACTTAGTTGGGTGGAGGGAGGGAGAGTTTGATAATCGAATCTTTGTTTATCGAATCCACACCAAACACATACAATCGAAATGATTCTGCACCTGTCCCAGATATATGGAAAATCCTACTACCCTTGTCATCACAGAGAAGGAGAGAATACATAAAGACTGTCTCGAAGTTGTGAAGTTACCTGATGTGAATATGGAGAATAAGTTGTGTCTGAAACGTTATCCAGTAAATGCTACTGTTTCACTGTGTGGTGTTTCTAATTACAATCGACCACAGTGCCCAAGTTTTACTCTTATATTAATGTGGTCACATTAGTTATTCACTAATTCGAGAAACGTTTTGATTTCCGATTCGCTCAGCTGAGCCTACCAACGGAGAATACTATCATAATTCGTCCATAGATTAGATAATAGGTGTTCCGTATAGCTGGTTAGTTGGTATGATAAATATGACCTGATATGAATATGGACAACAAATTGTGTCCGAAACGTTATCCAGTAAATGCTGTTGTTTCACTGTGTAATGTTTCTAATAAACAGACTAAAATGGAATGATGAGTAAAACCTTTTATAAGTTTGTGATTATAGTTTATTTTTTACTTGAATTCAGGTTTGGGATTTAACAACAGCATTGAATCTTGCACGAACTGGAACTAATTTTCCCGGACCTATTCCTAATTCATCGGGAATTAATGTGGATGGAGCTTACAACCTTCCACATGGTATGTATACATATTTAAGTGACTTTTTTATTTTATGTTGCCTAGGATAAGTTTGTTTGTATTTTTCTTTTGGTTAAACTGTCTGTCTGCTTTGTGGGATATTTGGTGGCTAGCGTTTCTTCCTACTGGATCTACAGTATTGTTCCCACTGAGACTTGAACCTAGGACCGATTGCTTAAAACTTCAGCGCGTCATTCCCTAGGCTACCGTGTCACGATAGCTGCTTCCATCCACACCCAGCTGACGAGTCCCAAGTAGTATAAAATGCGCGTCCTAGATTTCACTGCTAACCGCTATTGGTCATTAATATATAACTGGAACAAAGGTAATGTCAAAGCATTCACGCACGAGCCCTTGTGTCAATAGTGGCCGATCAATTCGGTCTAATCAACGATGAGATAATACAAGTAACAACATAAAAACTATACCCGTCACACAAGAAGTGGCTATTGTGACTTGATGACCTAACGGAAGACCCCCTTGTGTTTGAAGTGATCGGTTCTGTGTTTATATCATAGGGGTAACAACCTCACTCACTGGGCGGCAGGTATATCCACCTGGCGAGTCTGGAATTGGACGAAACATACGTCCTTAATTCCACTCCTAAACATTATCCATCATTAAACTTGTTCTAGTCCTAAAATTGAAAGTATTATTGATTCAAATTAACAACTTGCCAACACTCATCGCCATGATTTCATGTTGACACACTTTTCGTGGTTTCTTAATAATACTGTTATACATCACACATATCAATTAATATTTTATGATGATGACTGACTTCATGCATCGGAAACACGTTTAACTTTAAGCTAATTATGATCACTTTTAAATTTTGAAACCGTTACTTACACTGTTTCCTGGTGGAAAAAAGGACTAGTCGTGTACTAAGAAAGATTATTCAAATCTCACAAAATGATTTTAGTTTACTTGTAACAAAGTAGTAGGATGAAAGATGAAGAAGGCAAGAAAAATTGGTTAAAAGCGGTAAAGGAGAGAAAGGAGGAATGGAAAAAATGTTAAATTTACTATAGCGGTTAATATGTAGATGAAATATGGATGCATCTGCGCCACTTTCCGACCATAAGTTTCTGTTGCCGTATGGACTACAACCAGCTAGTCTGCATCTCTCTGCATGACTCAAACCAACGGTCGAAGACTTCATGCAGTGGTGCTATGTCTTAGTCTGTCCACCCTGAGCCCTTTTCCAACCTGAACCTGCTCCAGTTAACGTTACCTCATGAGGTAATGGGTAATTGGGCATGCATCACATATATCCTAACCATCTCAGTCGACGAAGGTTCACAACTGTATCAACTGATTTCCCGTTCCATCCTAAAACTGCTGTTTGCTTTACTCATGTGGTAACACCAAGATACACTGTCTATGCTACGAAGGCAATGGTGGTTAAACATCTATAATCTTCTCATGTCCTCTACTTTTAATAGCTATGTTTTACAACTACAGAGAACAGAGTTAACTGCAACATAGTATACTCAGCAGTTGACAGACAGTAGAATATCGCATCATATAATTTATGTAAGAGAAAAATTGAGTGCTAGTCAATTTCACTCCAAGTACGAAATGACCGAAACACACTCACCCAGTGTACATCCGTGCTGTAGGCAATGAGCCACATCTATTGTGTGAGGGAAGTAATTTGGCAGGCAGTTGCTTCAACACTACGGTTTCAGTGCCACAAATCTTTATCAACCTCAATCAACAGCTTTATACTATGTGGTGCTACATGTCAGCACCAGTGACGCCTTTGAAGTGAAGACAGGAGTAAGACAAGGCTGACACCTACTATCACCCGTGATCTTCCTGGTTGTAGTCGACTGGATCATGCAGCAGACAACTGAGAGGAGATGGGAATGCGCTGGCTGGACCGATTAAAAGAGCCTAGAGGATTTAGATTTGTCCAATGATGATGATTTATATCTAATATCTTGTCGCACAAATTCGAAGATGCATAGGCGAAAACTAACAAGTTGACAGAAGAAGCACGGCAGCGAAAACGGAACGTTAAGTGAATGTGGAGAAGACGGAGGTGATGAAGATACTCAACGAACAACAGCATGAGTAACAAGAGGCACCAATCACGATGAACTCGAGAAACCTAAAGGAAGTTGTCTCTTTCACTTACCCGGACAAGGTAGCACCGTTTCATTTGCAGGTGACACAGGCACAGATGAGGATGTCAAAACCAGGATCGGAAAGACAGCCAGACGGGCCTTCATTAATCTGAAATCAATCAGTATGGAGATCATTTGCACTCAGAACAAAGAATAACATCCGGATTTTCAACACTAATGTCAAGTCAGTGCTGCTATATGGTTCAGAAACTTGGCGCGTCACGAAAATCACTTCTAACAAACTACAGACATTCATCAACAGCTGCCACCTACGCTCACTCAATACTGAAGATCAGATGGCCAGAAAGAATAAGCAAGGAGGAACTGTGACTGGCAACGAATCAACCAAGAAACTTTCACCCAACAAATATGCAGAAGAAGGTGGAGGTGGATTGAGCATACACTGAGAAGACCGACTGGGGACATCACGCGCCAGGCATTCAAGTGGAACCCGTGTGGGAAATGACGAGTTGGGGGTTGGAGGCGAGGGTGACACGGAGATCGTGTAAGGAAGAAATGAAAGCTTGTGGTCAGTCAGGGAGCCAGGTTGAAAAGATTGCAGAGAACAGAGTGGAATGGAGAGGTGCTACTGAAGTCATATGTTCCACTAGGAACCCAAGGGAATGTTAATAATAATACAATGTTACTGTCTTTTCCTTTGTCTATTTTTATCTAACCTTTTTTTATTTATATCAGCTAATATAGGATAATAAAGCCTTTTATTTCCCCTTAACAGAAATTGCTTCTTATCCTAGTGGATTAGTGAACAATATGAATACCTGTGGAGGAAACAATATGATGATTGGTGTAAATTCAAGTGGACTAGCAAATAATTCAAATAGTATACTAGTTTATCCAAATTATTATCAGCATTTATATAACACAGATTATAATTATAATAATGGTTGTTATATTGGTGGACCAACATCATCGGAATTATTAAAATTATTAGAAAATTGTCAAATTGGTTTCTCATCAGGTGGTTCAAGTATGACAGCATTATGCTCTGGACGTTTAACACCAGCTGATTCGTTAAATTCAATTATTCATCATCCAACTTTATGATAGGCATATTAATTAATTATTTGCATTATTTTTATCACTATTATAATTGATAATTATTCTAATGAAGTATTAATTTCTAAACTAAGATATAAAAATAACGCAAAAAAAATCTATATGATTTTATACTTTTGACTTCTCTTTTCATATTTGTATCACCCGCCTTTTGATCTCTCTCTTCATGGTCTATAATTTGTTTATTTGTTCATCTACGGTCATTCTTTTTTTAAGAGTCTTTCTTCTACATAGTAATGGAATCATTTCATCAATGAACTATTCATTCGATTATTAACTTAATGATGATCTTTCGATCGAATTTCATACCTGTTTCATTTTTCCAACTGACTGACTGAACATTTTTATTTTAATTCAAGTTGTTTTTCTAGAACTTATTGTGTTTCCTTTTATTGATGAAGGTGATCACCATTGAAAATTGTTTCTATTCAGTGTTATTCTCTACTGGTAATTTTTGTTATTTGTGATCTGTTGAATATATATAGTATGAGAGAAATAAATTTAAAAGTAATCAGCAAAATGGTACATATTCTTGCAGTAAACAATCATCTACACTTATTATGTAAAGGTCAAGAATACTTACTGCCCGGCTACCAAAACCTTGGTAGATGGAGTGACATTTGAACCCACGACGCGTTGGTTAAAAGTTAACTGTGTAAACCAATGAACCACAACTTTACAAATTCCAAAGAGATAAAGGTTCTAAACAGAAATTTTGTTATACTTCATAGCTTTAACATCTAAGGCGTATACTATTCATCAAGTAATGAATATATTATAGATAATTAGTAGTTTCTATCATTGGTATAATTGCATAAAAGCTTATTCAGTTTATCAAGATGTAAGAAAACGACAAAGTATGAAACGCAGAAGGACGTTTATTATGACACTGTACATTACTGATAAAACCTTTCCACTGTAATATCCATTTGGACAATATACTTCATTTCCATTTCTTCCTCTTTTTCGTTTTGCTCTTCACACTTCTACATTGTCTCTTGCGTTTTTCTGCTCAGATTGTTTACTTATCGCTCGTAGTTACCTATGACTTCTTCCCACCCATCAACATATACTATTTAGATCGGTCCTCATCAGTAGCACCTACTGCAAGGAGATAAACTGCAAACTCATTTTTCTACTTCATCACTGGCTCAATACTTGTACTTCTATAACATCTGTTTATCCTATCTATGCGGTGCACTTATTCGTTCATAATCGTGTTCTTAAAAGTATGTATGTGAAACATTGAATAAACCAACTTAAATGAAGCTTGGTTACACTTTTGTCTAAAAAGACAATGTGAATTGGCTGCGATACATAGAACATATTTGTTTTCCTTGAAATCATCCTCTATAGATGTACAATCGCATTAAAATGTATTTAGTTGGCATAAAAATGTTATTTTTTTAATCAACCTGAATGAAGTAGTCTCTTTCACCTATCACCTAGGCAGCTTAGTTTCAACTACAGGTGGCACAGATGAGAACGTCAAAAGCAGGATCGGAAAAGCAAGACAGGCCTTTATCAATCTGAAACCAGTGTGCAGATCTATTGCACTGCACCCAGCATAAAACGTGAACAATATCCGGATTTTCAACACTAATGTCAGTCAAGTAAGTCAGTGCTTCTATGTGATGGTTGAGAGACTTGGTGCGTTACGAAAAGCATTTCAAACAGACTACAGATGTTTATCAACAGCTGTCGCCTACACTCACTCGATACTGAGGATGGAGATCAGATGACCAGAATAACAAGAATAAGCAACAAGGAACTCTAGCTGACAACATACCAACCAAAAACCCATCACCGAACAAATACGCAGAAGAAAGTGGAGATGGATTGAATCGGACATACACTGAGAAAACAGTTTGGGGATATCACGTTCCAGGTCAGATCGTCGAATGGAAGTCAAATAGGAAACAGCAAGTTGGGCGTCTAAAGGTGACATGGAGAAGATCGTGTGAAGAAGAAATGTAAGGTTATGGGCAGTTGTGGAACCAGGTTGAAAAGATTGAAGAGATGAGCGTGAAATAGAGACGTGCTACTGAAGCCCTATTTTCCACTAGGAACCTAAGGGACAAATAATAATAATACAATAATTTTTTTAATCAATAATTTCCAAGTTTGTTGTCATGAAAATAATATGGGAACGGAGATTTCGTAAGATACGAACTTGAAAGGTTAGGAATTAAGAAATGAATAGGGACAGGAAATGCCAGTCACTTTTGGGTACACAGTTCATGATTTATTTGTTGCATTGCCAAATTATCAGCAATGCAAAACGAACATTTTCCTACACCCTTCGAAAGATTAAATTGCATTTTGTAGACTAAAGCAAGAGAATCTTCCGAGAATTTTTGTTTTCAACTAAATGCTGTAATTAGAAGCTGCTAAACGATGCATTAACCTTTACTGAACCATCCTAGCGTTGACATAGACCAATCTGCCTCTGCGTAGGCCTACTAACCTACCTGGCTCCACAGGAGCATATATAATTGCTATATACATATCGAAGCGGCCAGCAGTGACAGTATGTCGAACACATACCCGTTCACCATTTGATGAATAGTATAGATGATTTGCACATTTGCTGCATAGAAGGTTCGTTCAACAGCCTTCATTAGTCAGCACTTAAGTATCTCATCTGCTGCATCTCCATTTATTTCCAAGCCAAAAATCAGCTTTTCTGTAGAGTGATAGGAGGAGGCTGATGCGTGGCATTCTGATGTAGATTTTTCATTTATGAATCTCTCTGGGTACCCATTTTGATTAACGTCTATTTTAGAAGTCGAATTTCGTTTTTTAAATTGTCGGAAGTACATATCTCCTAAATTCGAGAGGAAAGGGGATAGATTAAATTTCTTTTTTGGATGATGGGAACCCAGCTACAAAAGTTGATAATTTTTGCATCCCATGTAGATTTTCAATAAATTTATATTTTAGATGTTCCATCATTTCTTCTTCTGAACATTAAGTCTAGGAATAGTACCCTTAATTGCGATGGAGGAATGATATTCAATGACAAATTGAAGTATTCTCGGGAAGTCACAAATGATAAATATATCACTGGCCTTTGTTGTTTAGAACTTAAACTACCTAATAACTGAATTGAGTATGGTTGTTCCCACCTTAGCCACAAGTATATCTACAAACAGTAAACCTAATGGTGACTCCATTGCAAATGTGTCTCTTTAATGGTAGGTGTTACCAAACCTGAACTGCACATCTTAAGAGCAGTTCTTTTAGATATTTTGTCGATATCTCAGTGTTAATTCCAAGTTCTGCTTGACCCGGGTTTCGTATTCTTTTGCACTCCTCAGCAGGGCGTTTCTACAACCTCGAGTGAATTGATGTCACCAATGAAATTTGAACATGCGTCACTGTATGCCGTGTTCAGACACGTTACAACTGATTTGAAATTTCCGCCAGCTTAAATCTTGGCTAGATAAAAGAAACAATCAATGAAAATGTCGACATTCTGATATATAAATATCTCTTACAAATCATTGAAACTAGGAGTTTAGATAAGTGAAGATGTTTCGTTTACAGAGTAAAAGGCTAAATTATTGAAAAATAATTATTAAAAGATAAGACTGATATGAGTGTAAATGACAGACAACACAGAAGATTCTTACAAAGAATTCCAATCACTAAATTCCAAAAGCATTGTGCTGAAATCTAAATTTGATCATTTTCCACATTGCAAAAAATTTAATTCAAATATTATTAAAAGAACACAACAACATGTTTTGGAATATACGATTCAAATAATGGCATTTCCTTGTCTTAACTCTTTATAGGTTATGGAAAAGACAGGATGTATACAGTCAAATCCAGCTTACTTACGATGGTGTTCGAGATCAGGATAGTTCATTGCAAGAAATGATATCGATTAAGTCAGTCAGAATGGAATAAGTCATTGAACAAAATCGAATTCGTTCAATGTTCACGTAGTCACATTGTTATTTTTCTACATTTAGTAAGGTAAAAAATGGAATGAAAAAGATCACGTCAATGTATATAATAAGTCGATGAAATAGATAAGAGAGTAAAAAGTTAATTTGAAGTCAATTTGGTGTGATCAGTAAAATTATGGAGATAAAGTAGGACTTTATTGTCAAAAGCTGAAGCCGGATCTCACTCGGCAATCTTAGTCACGATCATGCAGTAGGCAATGAGCTACACCTATTGTGTAATGGCTAGTGATACTGCCTACCTGCTCACATATTTTTTAATGGAATACGATTCGAAATCATGACGGCATCGGTTGAAAGTCATCTCCTCAAACAAATGAACCATAGCTCCAAAAGATTTGTTGTGAAAACAGTTGTTTGTATAAGAAAAATAAACATAGAAAAGTACAGGAAAAACTTTTGTAAGAGCTTGTGCTGAATAACGAAGTGATCAGTGGCTAGCATGTAGCTTGACGGTTAACTATTGCCTTTCTATGGATACATCGGCTTGGTTTAGTTTTTATAATAGTAATCACTTCTTTGATTCTTAGTGAATTATGGTTGTTTTGTTTATTGATTATTTTGAATGAATTCAAGAAACGGATATCACATCCTGTATCCATCAACTGCTTGGCAACAGAAATTTTAAGGTAATTGGGTTTGTTTATGATAAGCCTATTTGGAATGTTTTCAGGAAATCAAGCCACAGTCTTACTCTTTCCTCCCGGTGCACATGCTCTGGCATCAGTAGATATACTTCGAGGTGTCGTAAGCCAGAAATCTGTCAAAATATGATTTCCTTAGGGAATACTTTGTCTTGTAACGAGAGAATGACCTGGCGGCTAGGGGAAGTGCTTTATAGTACACTGACTGTGTTCATCAACTCGTCCACCTTGAGAGCTGGAAGAAGAAATACAGGTTTATTCTCAAGACCATGGAGTTTGTTTACTTCTATTGTTCTCGTTTCGACTTTATCTTTGGACCTATAAAGGGTAACGATCTCCTTACAGATATCCGTCGGTGAAACGAAATTCA